GCTGTGGGGTGTGTGTGTGTGTGTGAGAGAGAGAGAGAGAGAGTCCATGTGTACACATGCTGTCTAGGCTGCTGTGGGGTGTGTGTGTGTGTGAGTCCGTGTATATGCATGCTGTCTAGGCTGCTGTGTGTGTGTGTGTGTGTGGTGTGAGTCCATGTGTACACATGCTATCTAGGCTGCTGTGGGGGGTGTGTGTGTGTGTGAGAGAGAGAGAGAGAGAGAGAGAGTCTGTGTGTACACGTGCTGTCTAGGCTACTGTTTAGTTTCTTGCCGCTAGATGGTGAGCCTGTCTTAGGGAAAATGCTCACCAGGTTTATGCCACACAGGAGAACCGGGATGGGCCTTCATTGACACAGGTGAATACCTGTGTTAGATGCCGGCACAGGAGATGTGTGCTTTGAAAGCCCCACTCCGTGAGTCGCTGGGGGCTGGACATCTTTAAAACACCCTGGCCCAAGACCGCCGAGGTGGGCAGCAGTGGAGCCTGCTCAGCCAGTGCCCCAGCTGCCCACCAAGCCTCCAGCCCCCATGGGGCGTTTCTGTTTTCCTCGAGAGACTGTAGACACCTTAGGCTCTGTTGCCGTAATTTTTATCAGCCACGTGTCCTCTTAGAGCCTGGGTTTGAGTCCCCTTTTAGACCATAGTCAGATGGTCAGCTCCCAAGAGAACAGGGAGGTGTCTCCCTGGACCGTTGCTTCAGCCTTCTTGTGTATCTCTCTGGGGTCTTCCCTTTGAGGGTGCCTCAGTCCAGCCACGGGGGGCTTGGGAAAGTATGTGGGCAGAGTTGCTGGGCGTGGCGGGTGCTGTGTGCCCAGTCAGCACTCTCTCCCCAGCAGACCGCTTTTCTGGAAGGGGTCACATCTCCTGCAGGTGACTACCTTCTGTATGGGAATTCTTTCCCACTGACTGGTTTCTTTTGCCCCTGGTCCCTTCAGCCTGCTTTCTCCTCATAAAGAAAAGGTGTTGCATCCCTCAGATACAGCCCTAACCAGGCCCTCCCAAGGCCACTGCTCATCCGGAACCTGCTGTGTTCAGAACCCAACTCCACCAGCACGCTGCCTGATTTTCCTGCCGTCTCCTCGGTCAGGGCACGCTCCGTTTGTTAGCTGTTCGGGCGAGACACTGACCTCCCGCTTGCACCCCGCTCCCACGTGTGGTCCGTCAGTAAATTCTACACACACTACCTTCATAGCCATGACCTGACCCCTGCCTCTTACCTTTACCCCGGCAGCCCTGCCTGGTCTGAGCCACTGTCTTCTTGCTTCGGGATCACTTACAGGAGCTTCCAGTTGGTCCCTGCTTCTGACCTTGCCCCTTCTACCCGGAAAGCAGAGGCTCCAGTGACAGTGTCAGTCAGCCCAGGTCGTTCTCCGCTCAGGACCGTCGACTGGCTTGCTTTCCTTCACTAAGTTAGGAACTGAAAGCCTTCCTCCAAGTTCCCAGCCCTTCCCTGGCCTGGCTAGAGGCTGGCTTTTCTGGGATGCAACAGCCAGCATTGGCTTTTAGACCTGCTCTGTTTTTCACCGTGAAGAACGACAGGTTTCCCTCCATCTAGGCATTTTGAAAGATACCTGTGCTCATGGAGGTAATGTGTTTTATTAGCGGTAGCTTAGCTCGTAAAGTGTCCTCCTTTATGTCACTTCCTGTATGGATTTAATCTTGTTTTACAGTGTATTTAACAGGCAACATTTCTTTAAGTTTGCACCTTCAGATTGAATAAGTAAAAACCCTTCTGTCTGCTTTCCCTGGAGCTGGCAGAAAATACTTTGAAGTCTGCAGAGGGTTAGTGTGAGGTGATGGTGAAACACACAGTGTCTCTGTAGGAAGGTGGAGATGCAGGACCTGTGTGAACGTTAGTTTGCCCGTCACTGAGAAAGGAAGGATGTACGTTCCAGGTGTTTGCTTGAAAAATTGCTGTACCTTGTGGGAAATTAAAGGCTAATTGGGGAAATGTGCTGGAGATGAAGAGTTGTAGGGGACAGGAGAGTATGAAATCGACATGCACGCGAAGTAGAGAAGGTCCTGGGGCCCTGAGTCCTTCGTCTCTTTGACGGCCAGTTTGCTCTGGGCCAGTGTGCTATTCCTGGTGGGATTTTGTTATCCTTAGTGTTCTCTGTTTTCCTCATTTATTTTATCCTCTTTTTCATTTTTGAAGCTGCTTTAAAACTTCTTTTCTTTTCCCTGAAAGGGATGAGGTATAAAAAAAGACAAATGAAATAATAAGCTATTTCATGGCTACACAGGCAGTTGTTTTGTAACTGGGTAGCTGTTTGACCCTCTTCCCTAAGTTCTGGTACAGATGGTTAATGTACTCAGCTGCTAACCAGAAGGCTGGAAGTTCAAGTTTACCCAGAGGCCCCTTGGAAGAAAGCTGTAGCTTTGGAAAACCAGCACTGCATACCCTGTGGGGCACAGTTCTGCTCCGACGCCCCTGGGGGTGCTGTGAGTTGGAGTCAGCGTGACAGCAGTGGGGCCTGAATCGTCAGTGTGTCTGCGTCACCGCTGTTGTGGCCGCCCCACTCATTGCCTGTGTGCTGTGTTTTCTTTAGATTGGCTTGAGAGCAGTGCTCACCTGTGTTGGCCTTCGGTTCTGGAGAGCAAATGGAGGACAGGACTCAGTAGTCTTGGCCCCCGTGAGAGGAGCCCGACACCCAAAATGGAGAAGAAGCGAAGAAAGAAATGAGAGCCTCTTTCAGGCCAGACCACAAAAGGCCATGAAATTTCACTTTTATTTATGTTGGACAGGACTGCAAGACAGCTGATCAGCAATGTTTCAGCTTTTGGCCGGAACAAAAATGAACTTCTAATCAAGGAAGCGCAAACAGTGTGATTTGAGTGTATGCGATTTTCTGACCCTCCCCACTCGTGACCATGAAGCTTGTCAACATCTGGCTGCTTCTGCTCGTGGTCTTGCTCTGTGGGAAGAAGCGATTGGGTGACAGGCTGGAGAAGAAGGCCCCGTGTGCTGGCTGCTCCCACCTGACTCTGCGGGTGGAGTTCTCGTCGACAGTGGTGGAGTACGGTAATGATGTGGCGTTGGGTGTTAGGACCGCTGCTTTTCCCAGACTCACCTTAAACATCAGCTTCTGCCCCGGGACATTCTCTTTCTACCTTAGATTTCAGACAGGGTGAGGACCCAGTGCTGGATGGTCACGCTACTGCGTGTTGTTTTCCTTGTGGAGTTAACTTAAGTGAGACCAGGGAATTGGTGCTGGGAGTTCCTTACCCCACACAGGTGCCAGTGAGCTGGTGAGGGGAGAGCTTTGGAATGAATGAGTAAAACAATCTCAGCCCAGCCTCTCTGGGATTGTGTCTTTTTTTTTTTTTTTTCCAGTAAAACTGAAGCAGCTGAGCAGTTGTGTCTCTGAATTCCTTTTTGAAAGGCTCCCAGAGGACCCTTTGTTGTACGTGCAAATGCCTCGTAACACCTGCTTTTGTAAAAATAGCCCAGGTGTCTGACTTGGAGTGAGGTGGTCCCTTCAGTGAGTGTGAGCAGGAGATTCCCACAGCCCTTCTCACAGTCCAGATTCCACCAGCTGCTTTCCGAGGCATGGAACCTAGTCTGATTTGGTCATCTTCACTTTGGGTTTCATGAGGTTGACTTCAGAATATAACTTTTCTTATAAGCAGTGAGGTTTTAGATTAGATATGCTATAGTACACGTATGCCAGTTCTTATGTTTATTTGTGGTCATTGGTTTCAGAATATATCGTGGCTTTCAATGGATACTTTACAGCCAAAGCTCGGAATTCGTTCATTTCAAGTGCTCTGAAGAGCAGTGAAATAGACAACTGGAGAGTCATACCTAGGAACAACCCTTGCAGTGACTACCCGAGTGACTTCGAGGTGATTCAGATAAAAGAGAAGCAGAAAGCAGGGCTGCTGACTCTCGAAGGACATCCAAACATCAAGCGTGTCACTCCCCAGCGCAGGGTCTTTCGTTCCCTTAAGTACGCGGAATGTGAGTATTGTGACCGTGGGCGAGTTGCTGTCGCTCCTGTACTAGTAGGCGTCCACTCCCTTTCCCTTTCGAGTTGATGAACGTGCACATGGTCTTTATCTGGGAGATTTTCAAACTGGCAGTAGAGTTGAAAAGAGTCCAGTGAGCACCCATATCCTCTGTTTCGTGTCACCGATCATGAACAGTTTCTTGGCAAGGTTTCTCCTTTAAATGCAGCTTTAGCTGTTCTGGTAAAAGGTGGCCTGAGCCTTTGCAGTAGAGGCTGGCGGTGGTCACTGGCTGGCTTGGAAGTGCTTCTTACCTGCGTTCAGCTCCAAGCCTGCAGGCCTTGAGGGTGCAGCTCCCATCCGCTCTCTGGGAAGCAGTCTCTGGAGTTTCTGCTTTCCTGGCATTTTCCTCTGTCGGTACAAGTTTCCGACTTGACTCCCTTTAAGGAAGGTTGGGCAATCCTACTTCCGTAGTGATACTGCCTCGGAAACCCAAGGAGGGGTCGCTATGAGTCGGGGCCGACTTGACAGCACATAACAACACAACAAGGTACTCTTGGAGAGCATCTGTTCTGGGGTTCATGACTGTGCCCGGCTGTGTATCCGCCGGGTCTGTGTAAGTCCTGAGCTGTGCAGTGTGAGGGTGGAGGGATTTTGAGGGTCCCTCTCCAGCTAGAGGGCTTACTCTTTGCTACCTCGATACAGCCTGGGCTTGTTAGGGAGCATTTATGCTGACATAATCAATTGCATGTTTATTACATGGTATTCCCCCACATGTACATGTTTTCCCCTATTTGTCCTCAACGAGGTAACAGCTTGCTAGTTTTGTCAGTGTGCTATCCTTTCCTTCAGTGGGAAGAACAGGAAATTGCGTTTTGCTTTTCCTTGTCACTTACCGTACACCTGAGAGTCTCTGAGGTTTCCGTGCATTAAAGAAACCAAAAAAAGCATAATGGGAGAAGTTAAGTAATTTGCCAGGTGGGACAAGCCTGTTCTTGGCCAGCTGTGGGATCCAGGTGTCTGGCTTCTTTAGAGCCTTCTCTGCAAGTGTGGATGTTTTGTGCTATCTTTTTCCTTGAAAAACAGTGACCTCAGGACAAACCAGGGAGAGAAAAAGAAATCAAGTTTTGTACCATTAGCAAAATGTAAACATTATGCTTTTTTCTTTTCTTTTCTTTTTAAACCTTAAAATGCTCTAGAGTAGCAGGAAACATAGAAATGTCTAGTTGGAGCATAGGAATCATTCAGTTGGCCAAGGTTCTTCTACCCCCTCTGCATGTGGTTGACCCAGTCTGTCTTGAAGTTAGCTGTGCACTTACAGTGAGTGACTCTTCTAGAATCTTCCATTTTCACCTCCATACAGCAGAGATACTACCTACCTCATAGGGTTCCTGTGTGGATAACATGAAATAGTGCCTATGATGTTACAGGTGCATGATTTCTGTGGCTCTTACTGTTAGAAAGTTTTGCTTTATTTGGGGTTGAACTGTCTGGATTCCAGCCGTTGCCTTTTTCCACTGGGGCTGTAAGACAAAGCTAACCTGTTTTCCACAGGACAATGGTTAAAGTACTGTGATGCTGTGTCTCGTTGGAATGGGTGGCTTACCTGTGGTGTTCGTCACAGCTCAGTCTCTTCAGGAGCTACTCTTGTGACGGGTCTCCAGTCTCCTCCCCATCTTAATTGGTTTCCTCTGAATACTCTCCACTTTGCCTCAATTGTTTGTAAAGAGTGAAGCCCGGGTTGGAATTTACAACTCTGGGTGTAGCCTGGTCTGTTTGAGGTAAAGCGGACCTGACCCCTCCCTTGTTCTGAACATTGTTCCACAGTTAGTGCCTCCAGTATTGTCCTGTGCTGTTGACTCAAGCTACAAAGTCAACACGGGAAGCTTAGTACAGAACCATTTCAGTTGGACTGTGTCAGTAATCACTTCACAGGATGGACTCAAGTGTGTACTTTTCCAGCTCTTTGTGCCCGTGTGGGTGTAGCCTGGGAAGGCCGGAGGCTGAGAGCAGCCTGCTCTAGCAGTGGCTTCCGTAGTATTGCAGACCTGTTTCCTTAAGGCTGACTGGAAAGCGTCTTTGTGCATCACATGGCTTCACTTTGAACGGCAGGGGAAAAGCTCTGTGTATTTTGTTTGCCTCCCTTTTTTATTCAGATCTAATTCACAGTCAAAGTCAACCTTCCGTTTGGCAAGTTGTGACAAAAGTGTACAGCTGTGTGTCCGCCAACAAAGTCTAAGTCATGGTGTAGAATAGTTCCCTTGCCCCCCAGTTTCCCCACACCTCTTTGGTATGGAATAATTGTCTCACCCCTCAATTTCCTCACACCCCTTTGTAGTTCTTAAAACAGCTGCTTTTGAGAGGTGAAATACAAATACTAAAAGTACTGGGCAATATAAAAATGGAAAAGGTTCTATTAATGGGGGCCAGAGAGATGTGTCATGAAAGACCATAGTTTTTTCCTGACCCAGAAACCTCAGACTGTAACCTTATTGACTAGTTCATGCCTGTTTCCTTCAACTGTTTTCTCCTCCTGGTTCAGTGAAAAGCTGCTGTGTGCAGTATGATTGTCTTCCGTGACGGGAGTGTAAACTGTTGCTCCTCTTTGGTTCTTTCTCTTCTTTGGATCTAGCTGACCCCATCGTGCCCTGCAATGACACCAGGTGGAGCCAGAAGTGGCAGTCATCCCGTCCCCTTCGAAGGGCAAGTCTCTCCCTGGGCTCTGGATTCTGGCACGCGACTGGCAGACACTCGAGCAGACGGCTGCTGAGGGCCATTCCTCGGCAGGTCGCCCAGACCCTGCAGGCTGACGTGCTTTGGCAGATGGGCTACACAGGTGGGCCCGGAGCAGCGTGTGGCTGGGTGTCCAGGGAAACGCCTGGTGTGTTCTGCGCGCTGTGCCCCGCCTCCTCCTGGTGTTCCGGGAGCTGGGCATTGGCACTGTCCCTAGTCTTTAACTCTCAGTGTGCTGGCCATCTGCTTCTCTGCTGTCCGCACCCCTGCTTCGCTTACCCATGCACCCAAACATGATAGCACATCGCCACACACAGCCAGAGCTGACTGGCACTCTGGCCACAGGCTCTCATTGCTCAGGGAGAGAGGGAGAATCCGAACAAGACGGCTCCTGCTCTCCTCGATTGGGCAGTTCAGTGTGTGTTCGTTCAGCCCTCTAGTTTGGTGACACAGATGCAGACTGACTGAGGAGCTGTGAGGTGTGCTGGTCGTTGGTTTCAGAGCGGAAACCAGTGCCGAGGACCCAATCACGAGGGCTAAACTGATGGCCAGTAAGATTTCTTCCCTTGACTCAAATTCCTGTTTTAACTGAGGCAGGGTTCGTACCTGGGCTTTTAGACACAAGCCCGTTTCTCCTTAATGAAGAGACCCTTCCCTCTCCTTTGATTTCCTGAGTCCCCTGCCCTTCAGAATGCCTGAGAGCCTTAGACCCACCTGGCATGCTGAACTTTTATTAAAGTGATGGTGTCCTTTTGGTTTCTTTCTTTCCTTTAGGGCGAGTACTCCTTCACAAACCAGACGTCCTCCGATCCTCAGAAAAGCACTTTCTATTCCCCCAAAACCAAATGGTCCTTGATTTTACATGTGTGTTTTTAAAAAGTTGGCATTGTGTTTGGATAGTTACCAGAGCATAGTTGATCGAGGTGGTAGTGGTCCTTAGTCACAGCTCTCACACCAGGGAGATAGCGCCCTCTCCCATTGGTTAGCTTGCTACAGTGACAGTGTCCTGTCATCTAGAATTTCTTGATCTGACAGGATTGACTGTACTTCACATTGGTGCAGATGGCTTTTGGCAAGTATCTGAAATAGATTCATATTTGTGTGTGTGTGTGTGTACGCGCACGCACACACACTAATGGGAGAGAAAGGCCCCATGACCTACCCCTTAAAAAGCATAGGATAGTGACTTTCCTTCGAATGTGGTTGTTCCTCAGTGTTGTCTGCAGTCCCTTCTGCAGACTTTGTTGTGGTTAAGGCGTGGCATTGAGTAAACCGTAGTCCCTGTTAGGGGCAGATGTGGTTTCGTTTTTCCCTGTGTGTTGTGCCCTGTTCCTTAGGTTTGTGCTTCATGAGCCCTTTTCACCCTCACTCTGGGGCATGTCCTCTGTGTCCCACAGAGGAGGACATTTTACAGAAAGACATCCAGAATGTGATTTCCCCTAATGCAACTTTGCGTTTTCTGGGAATAAGGCGCTAGCGTCAGAGTGGCTGTTTTTGACACTGGGCTGAGCGAGAAGCATCCCCACTTCAAGAACGTGAAGGAGAGGACCAACTGGACCAACGAGCGGACGCTTGACGACGGTAGGTCTCACTGGGCTGAGCAGGGCCCCTATGTCTGTGGCAGCCGGCATCCAACACACAAGCTATGAGGGTGTCTCGGAGGGTGTCTGGAAATGGTCTTGGAGGAGAGAAGGGGGGATGCCTGGGGGAGGGGACCGTCACCGTGGAAGGGAGTGGGCGAGGCTGGACCTGAGCTCTGAGTGACAAAGCAGACGTACAGGACTCCTCATCCAGGGCACGTGAGTGGGATGCTGTGAGGTGAGATGATCTGTCAGACATACGTTATCAGCTGTGCGTCACGACTCTGTCTTCCTGCAGGGCTGGGCCACGGCACCTTTGTGGCAGGAGTGATAGCCAGTATGAGGGAGTGCCAGGGCTTTGCTCCCGACGCAGAACTTCACATTTTCAGGGTCTTCACCAATAACCAGGTGGGTGACTTGAGCACTGTGGAGCTTGTAAGGAATTGACACTGAAAGTTACAGGGTGTAAACTTGAGGAAACAGGCACCCTTTTAGGAGCTGCACACGTCTCTCTGCTGGGCTGCTGCTCGGTCTCGCAGGGGCATCCTCCTCACTGTGCCTCTGTGCAGCTGCCCTCTTCTCGCCACCTGCTTCTTCCCCAAGTTTGAGCTTGACTCCCCACGCACAGGTGCTCGGTGCGGCGACCCTGGCTGGCTTTCTCGGACCTCGGGCTGCCCAGGCTTCTGCACCGCTGTGTCTCGTGCGCTTTTCTCATCCTGTCTTCAGGACAGAAGCTTGTATGCTTGTATTTGCTTCCCTTCGGGATTGTGATGCTTTGAAGGCCAGGCTGTGCATAGCCCTGTGTATCCCAGCACCTGGTTGTGTTGGCTGCTGTGACCTTCAAAGCTTTATGCCCTCCCCCTTCATTTGCAGAGATTTTTACGTAGAGATCTTAGTTCGTGAATAGGTGTGACACAGTTGAGAAATATCAAAAGGCAGCACAGTGACACATCTCCCAACCCTGTTGTTTATACCTGAGTTCTGCACACCTTCCAGGGGTGGTGGTAGTAATATCCTGTACCACCAGCTCCTAGATTTGTTTTTGCATGTATAAGCAAATATAAATATGTAGCCTTATTTTCTGTTTTTTAATAGAGTTTCTGGAGCAGGTTTGGTTTGCAGGGAAATTGTGTAGGACATGGAGAGAGTTCCCGTCTCAGCCTGCACACTCTTTCTCCTGTTCCTCTTATCTTACTTTCTGTCTGTGTGGCGTGCTTGTTATAGTAGGTGAACCGACACTGACATACTGTTGTTAACAAATTATAAATAAGCCATTGTCCACTGTTTGTGTTGTCCCGCCCTGTGGGTTTTGACAAATGCACAGTGTCACATGTACACCTTTTTTTTTTTGGTCTTACTGTTTTGTTTTTCTTTTCCATTACACTTATTTCTAAAAGCTTTTTTCAAAAATAATTCTTGACCATTAGACTTATTCCATTTAATTTGGGATTTGGAAAAAATAAAACTAAATGGTTATAAACCTCCAAAAAAACTCAGTTGGTTCTGACTCATAGTGACCCTGTAGAACATAGTAGAACTGCCCTGTAGGTTTCCAATGCTGTGGTCCCTACAGAAGCAGGCAGCCACCTCTTTCTCCTGTGGAGGGGCTGCTGAGTTTGAACCTCTGGGCTTTTAGTTAGCAGGTGAGCACTTAACCACTGTGCCACCAGGGCTCCTTAAATGGTGATGCAAAAAGTAATTTGATGTCTGTAAAGCGTTAGGAGGACATGAACATCAGGGCAATAATCCTGTGAGGGAACTTCTTAGAAATGGGTGCCCTTGACCCTTCAGTCTGTGATGGAGAATGCTGGGCAGATACTTAAGACCGATCAGGGCTGTTTAGCTTCGTCTGAGTGTCTCAGGACAGACCCTCTCATGAGAGAGGTGGTTAGAAAGTTGGGCCTTGTCCATAGAAGGCAGGCCACCGGCACCCAGTTCCCTCCCCAGGGACAGTCCCTGTAGTATTTGACTTTGCAGAGCATTCTTTGTACTTGGGATTCAAGTAAAAAAATACTAGGGCTCAGAACAGGAGGATGAAGATGGTTGCACAACTTGAAGGGTGTGGTCAGTGTCACTGGGAGGTACGTGTGGAAACGGGTGAGTCGGGGCGTGTTCTGCCATGTACATGCTCAACACCAGAATCAACCAAACACGAGGAAAATTAAAAAACCGTCATTAAGGGAAATACTTTGTGCTCTTAAGAGTCTACTTTGCCCTTCATTATTGAAACCTTCCTGCCCTTTGGGGCTTGTTGAGGCTCTGAAGGGCTCTTTTACACTGAACTAGGTGTCCTATACCTCGTGGTTCTTGGATGCCTTCAACTATGCCATCTTGAAGAAGATCGATGTGTTAAACCTCAGCATCGGCGGCCCTGACTTCATGGACCACCCCTTTGTTGACAAGGTGGGTCACGTCACCACGGATGACGCTATGTCTGAGGACGGCCACTCCCATTGTGTCACGTGCCCCGAGTGGAGAGCTTTGTTTCTTGTGCGCTGGTGTCTCTTCACCCAAATGAGGACAGACAGTTAATGACGTGAACTTTGGGGATCTGGCTGCCATAAACCTGTGCATTAGGATCATTGGAAGCAGGCCTTTATCAGCAGGCCCGTGTGCCCCTTGGTGCCTTTCTTCGCCACGAACACGATCCCGTCTGCTTCCTCAACGTCCAGCCAGCGTCTGTGCCGTCTGCAGATCGTGGCCCGTGTGCCAGGCCTCATTGCTCTGTGCCTGCGCCTGCCCACGTTCATGATGGCCTAGTTCACACTGTGGCCAGTCCCTTTCCTGCCCGCCTCCCAGTTACTATTTTTTTAAACAATATTTTATGGTGTCTGTGGTGAGAGTTGACACACAAATTAGCGTGCCCTTTTACAGTTTTTACAGACTGATGAGTGACGCGAGTTACGCTTTGCACAGCACATCACCATTGTCTTGGGTTGGGCTCCGGTGGTCCCATTTCCAGTTCCAGTTTCCTTGTCCCCCTTCATCTTTGCTTTGAGTAATTGCTGACCTTTGCTCTCAGCTGGTTTTTTAATGGAGCATTCTACTCATGAGCATAGCCTTTATTTTATGGGCCAGTCTGTTACTGTTCAAAGGTGACCTGAGACATGAGGTTAGGTTTGGGATTTGAAGAGCGTCTCAGGGCTGTCATCTCAGGGAGTCCTCTAGCCGCAGCTGGTCCAGTGAGTCTGGACTTTTTAAGGGTTTGAGTTCTGTCCCGTGTTTTGCTCCCATTCTGTCATGGCCCTGATCAGAACGGTTGGTAGCGGTAGCCAAGCACCATCTGGGTGGAGAAGCCATGGCTCGTGTAGGCCATTAGCCCTGTAGACTGGTTTCTTCTCTCCTCTGAGTTATTTTTAAGTCTCTTTCTAGAAGTTGTGGTTTTTGTTGTACGTTAATTGCTTAAAAGCATTATGTTTTCAGAAATACGTACGTGCTCATTTTGTAGGTGTGGGAACTAACAGCCAACAACGTCATCATGGTTTCTGCTATTGGCAACGACGGGCCTCTTTATGGGTGAGTAGTCCCAGCAGGGATGACTGTAGGCATGTTTCTTCCTGCAGTAACTGAAAAGCGATTTCTGTGTCTGTGGATCTGTCTGTACATAAGGAGCTCTGGTGACACAGTGGTTAAGCACTCAGACGCTGACTGAAAGGTTGGCAGTTTGAATCCACCAGCCACTCTGTGGAAGAAAGATGTGCCAGTCTGCTCCTATAAAGATTTACAGCCTTAGAAATCCCGTGGGACAGTTCACTTTGTTCTGTAGGGTCTTCTGAGTTGGAATTTGACTTGAAGGCAGTTACTTTGGATTTTGATTTATATAAAGCTTTGCACTGCAGAACTCAGGAGCACATATAAGGAACCTTCATGGCCTGGTACCTCAGATTCCATAGTTACAAACTCAAGGCCAGCTTTGTTTCTTTTTAATGTCCCTGTAAATAGTAATTTGGGAGCTCTGGTTGTGTAGTGCCTAAGGCATTTGACTGCTAACCAGAAGACTGGTGGTTCAAACCCACCAGCCACTCTTTGGAAGGAAGATTGGGCAATCTACTTCCATAGAGATACAGTCTCAGAAACCCAAGGAGGGTTGATATAAGTTGGAATTCACTCAATGGCAGTGAGTTTGGTTTTAAGTCTTAACTTAGAAACCTAAAGATTTTATTCCAATTACGGATTTTACCCCGAAAATCACCTATTAGAAGTTGATTCCATGATGTTGATGAGTCCCACTGTGTATCCAGGGCACTGTGGGGTGAAGAGATAAATAAGGCAGAGAGATAGAAACACAGCAAAACCAGCACAGTACAGAAAGTCACGTGGGACAGTCCTGTGTTTTTCCAGGTTAAAGCACACGAAGAAAGATAGGGTTGACAGGGAGAGGGAGGGCGAGAAGGTGGTGGTTTCATGTGTCATCTTCATGGGGAAGTTCTGTCAGCAACTTGTGTACTAAGCTCCGTTCTTCGAGTTCTTACCGTGTCACTCTCAGCCCATAAAAAGTCCTGTGGGTGCCACCCTGGCGGTGTGTGGGTGGCCAGTGCTTTGAGAAGGTAGTGGCTAAAGGAAAAAGCACTGGAGGTCTTGCTACTCATCTCTCCACATTTAATGGTGGCAGGAGATGTGTAACGGAACATTTGCCGGTTTAACTGCTTTTAACTATACACGCCAGTGACAAGAATGACATTCACTGTCTTGTGCTGCCATCCCCACTGCCCATCTCCAGGAGCTTGCTATCCCCAGAACAGATTTAGTGCCATTGCCGTCCCCCCAGTCCCTGGTCACCTCTTGTGCACTTTGTTTCCGTGCCTTTCCTGTTGTAGATGTTTCACGGCATGGACTCACACACTGTCCTTATGTGTCTTGCTTCACAGAACGTGGTGTGTTCAAGAGCCATGCTTGTTGCAGCATGTGTCAGAACCCGGCTTCTTTTGTGGCTGGTTCACCACATTCTGTGTGTGCGTCATCTGTTGATGGACGTTTGGGCTGCTTCCCCCTTTTGGCTGTTGTAGATGGTCTGCCGTGAACGGGCGTGAGCAGTGTCTGTCTGAGTCCCTGCCTTCGCGTCTTTGGAGTGTGTCCTTGGGACCCGACCTGGTGGCTCCTGTGGCAGTTCTTTTGCTTACGGAGGAACTGCCAGCCTTTCCCACAGCTGCTGCACGAGTTGGCTAATTTCTCTGAAGCCACTTGGAAGAAGATGGGGTACCCTGTCCAGAGGTTCATTTTTGGGTAGTGAAGTGGTGCCAGAGAAGACTTAGGAGGGCAGGTGTGTACCGGACCGCTCTGGACGCTCCCAGGGCTTAGTGTAGCTTCATCCCTGCATGCCTCTTAGGCTGAGCGGTTTTGTCGTTCTTTGCATCACTGTATTTCCCTCTGCACATTGAGCTCACTTGAAGGACTAAAGGTCACGGCCTGGTTTTCATCCCGCATCCCGTGTCTCCTCTGAGGAGCTCTGGGTCATGGGGACAGCAGTCAGCCTCGCAGTTCCCGTGAGGAAGGTGGAGTGCTGCTGTGAACCCCGACTCAGAGCTCGTCCCATCTCCCTGCGGCAGGTAGAGATGTGTGACTGTGGGCCTTTCCCACAGGGGAGGCAGAGGAAACAACTGACATGTGCTGTGTGGTTATGTCGTGAGAGGATGAGTGGTGACAGGGCTGAGTCCTGTGGAGTTAGAGAAAGGGAGGTCCTTGAAGCCTGGAGTAGTGATGAGCACAGTTATCCTGAGGTGGTGAGTTGAAGGAGAGGGAAAGAAAAGCAGGATGTCCAGGTGAGAGGGAAGAGTTTACTCAGCACAGGTGCAGTGAGCAAGGCCTTCCCGGGGCCGCTTGTCACAGAAGGAGCGGATACGGTCACGTTTTTCTGAGGGTGTTTGCCCTAATTTGAGTGACACATTTGACATGACTTGACTTCTCGTTGTGTTTTGTGTCTCACCTCAGCACGCTGAACAACCCTGCCGACCAGATGGATGTGATCGGAGTAGGTGGCATCGACTTTGAAGATAACATCGCCCGCTTTTCCTCCAGGGGAATGACGACCTGGGTAAGCTGGTATTCGTCAGCCGCGTGTGCCCTGTGGGGTATTGGTAAGGCCCAAAGCAAGCAGCAGCTTAGAAAGCAGGCCGACCCTCACGTTCATAGACCTAACAGCTGGGGCTGCTGGTTGCCCAGCCGGGAGGATGAGAGAACTGCACCCTGCAGTGTTTCCCTGTCTCACTGCCGGGTCTGGAGCCTGTGAGGCCTGTGTTGGTAATCAGTGGGGCCTCCCAGTTCCACTTCTTTTCAACTTGTTTCTAAACAACTCCCTCCTCCCACCGCATCCTGCCTTCTGAGTTTAATCCCTGGGCAGATGCTGCCCTTCTGATCTCCTGTAGTTGATTGTTCTGAGGAGTGAGTACCACCCTAGAGGTACTGTTCACCTCATAGGCCTGTCTCTTGGCTGGGTGAAAGGTGAGCCACAGGGGTGAGTTCAGTTCCAGGCCTGACGGGTGTATAAGGACCACAGTCCTGGGGGATTTGCCCAATCTCTATCAGACCAGTAAGCCTGGTCTTTTGTATAATTTTGAGTTTTGTGCCACATTTGTCTCCCATTCTGTTTGGGACCTTGTGATTGCTTTCAGAGCTGTCAGCATTGGTTGCCGAGCACCATCTAGTTCTTCTGGTCTTAGGATCATGGCTAAGGTCCTTTTGGCCCATTAGTCCTTGGGACTTGAGGCAAGGGAGAGAAATGAAGGAAACAGTAACAGTGAATTACAACCTTTTCCCAACCTAAGTAGGGAAGTTCTGTTGAGCAGTGAAACAACTTGTGAGGCCAGAGACATCTTGCTTGGGCCAGCTTGAAAAACCATGTATAGAGAGTGGAAAATTCCTCTGCCCTACTCCCCTCCTCTTTTCCTCTTGAGCACATTTAACTTCTGTAAAAAATTGCGAGCTGCAGGTGCTCTCTTTGCAGCTAACCAATCACCCTTTACCCCGAACACCCTGGAAGTAAGAACCCATGAAAGTTCCATTTGGCCTTGTTCAGGGCTCAGTGTTTGGACATGAATCCACTGAGTCTGTGCCAGCTCCAGTAAAGGTCCTTCCTTTTTCACCATCCTGCTTGGCGTTAGCGTTTCCCTTGGCGGCTCCCGTAGCAGACTCATTGTTTCCTTGCATCTTTGATTTTCTTCGCTCTTCTTTGCTCCACATGAGGACCGACGAGTAGTTGCATTTCAGATGGCCACTCAAAGGTTTTTAAGTCCACAGCTACTACTCTTCAAAGTAGGGTGTAGACCATTGTCTTTGTGGAATATGTGATGCCAATGGACCCTGATGTCCCCTGAGACTGTGGTCCTGAGCCCCCAGGCCCAAAGCCTCATTCCCTCAAGGTATTTGGTTATGGCTAAGACGTTTTCATAACTCTGCCCCCCATATGCGCTATTGTAGTCCTGGATACGTACGTGGAAATCATCTGTTAAACCTGTAGGTAGTTGAGGGTGTAGTCCCTTCCCTTCTCAGCTTGCGTGTCTGCCTGTGTATCCATTCTTGGGTTCCTGTCCTTACTCAGGATTGTGTATGTAACAGTATGGACCATTGTTGCTGCTAACTCTTGTGCTCTCCGCGGTCTTCCCTTGCCTGGGTCATTTTGTGCTGCCTTTCCCTTCGTCCAAGTTCATGTGTGTCTGCCCTCTACTTAGTGATTTACCCTCCTTTCCCCTCTCACCCCTGGTAACCTTCAAAGAATGATTCTTTCTTGTATAAACCTTTTGTTGACTTTTTACAGTAGTGATCTCACAGTAATTGCCCTTTTGTGATTGATAATTTCACTCAGTATAATATTCTCCAGGTTCATCCATGTTACGAGGTGTTTTGCAGATAATGGTTATTTTTCAGAGATGTGTAGTGTCCCGTTTGTATATGAATCATAGTTTGTTTATGCTTTCATCCACTGACGGGCACTTAGGTGGTTCCCATCTTTTTGCTGTTGTGAGTAGTGCGCAGTGCACAGGGGTGTGCATACATCTTTGTTAAAGAGCTGCCTGTGGAGGCGAATTGGATTCGTGCCCACTTGTCCTGGTTCACAGGCAGCTAAGCAGTCCTCTGTGCTGGTGAGGTGATCTTGCTGTTCTAGAATCTTGTGGTTGAGGTTGGCTTCGCGGAGCAAGAGGCTAGTCAAAGCGGCTTTGCGTCAGCTCTGCTCGGGTGGAAATCCTTGTAAGGAGCTATGTGGAACTGAAGCAATATCATCAGATTAGTCGGCTACTTGGAGTGTGATTTCCCACTAATTCAGCATCCTCTCCCCATCACCAAAGGCTTGATTCAAACAAAACCAAGCACTCTGGGGCAGCACTCGGGGACTATGTCATTGGAGGTGGCCAAGGGTGACACTGGTCCCCGGGGTCAGGTTGTCTCTGGCATGCTGTGACTTGACATGTACTGAGCCTCAGGTCAGTCTCTTCCTGAGAGCACCGCAGGCTGTGTCCTTACGCAGAGGTGGTCCTCTCAGTCAGCCTCGCCAGGGTCCGCTGCTCATGCGCTCGGTCAGGAGCCACCTCCTTGAGATGCCTGTTTGGGGCCTGTCGTAGTCTGGCAACCTGGTCTTTGAAGAAGTCAGTCCTGGGGGCACGTTGTGTGTGCACTCCGGCTCCCTGATGGTTGTCCTCCCGTGGCGTGATGGCTGTCTTGCCCTTGGCCTTCACGGAGGCTTGTCTTCAGAGGCATTTGAGAAACGCCTTGAATCCTCTTTCCCTGTCTCCCACAACTGTGGTCTCAAGAGTCTTTCACCTTTGGCTCCTGGAAAGGGTTTTCCCTTCAAAGTGGATACTCCCTTTTTCTGATAGAACGGAAGAGCCCATTGTAATTCGTGTTCTGTCCTGATTCCAGGAGGCCTAGTGAGCACAGTTAACACCTTATCCCAGGTCACTCGTGTGGTTGTCGTAATCCTCCTCCTAAGTACACTCTTACTTCTCCTTTTAGGATGATTGGAAATAGCCGGTTACATCATGTTCTTTTTCCTGTAAAGAAGCATTTTTTTTTCCTGATTTTTAAAGTTTTTGAAGTTTTCTAATTTTTCTACAGAGTTCTTTTTTCTCATTTATCTGAAGATAATTTGGCTTCCAGTTTCTAGACATGCATGTTAACAAATTGAAAATACTTTCTGATTGATTTATGGCCTTGCGGTTACACTGGTTATTATAAAACACATTTAAATGATTTCTTTTTCTATATTATCATTTGTTTGTTTTCTGTATGACAGTGAATTTCAGACAAAATCCAGAACCTCTTGAAGGCTACACTGTACTTCTCTCGTTCTCCCGTCATCACACGCACCTAGGTGCCGGTGGATGATGTGATTGAAAGCAAGCTGCTTTTGTTCACAGGAACTACCCGGTGGTTACGGTCGTGTGAAGCCTGATATCGTCACCTACGGTGCTGGAGTGAGGGGTTCCGGCGTGAAAGGGGGCTGCCGGGCCCTCTCGGGGACCAGCGTAGCTTCTCCAGTGGTCGCGGGTGCTGTGACCTTGCTGGTCAGGTGAGTGCTGCTCATCGAGGGTCAGGATACAGGGCCCAGAGCTGGAGCTCGGCGGCTGAGTCTCGCTTCTGCCGCCACCAGGTCTGTGGGCTACGGCGTGTTGCATCACTGTGTTCTGCAGGAGTTGGGAGTCAGTCAGTCTTTCAAAGAGAGTGGTGGGAGAGTGAGATGAGATGCACGTCAGTAGACTTCATAGGCTGCGGTGTAAAGCAGTGCACGTGGTATGAGTGTCGGTGTTTTCTGTTTTTCTGTTCTTCACATGGCTCGTGGCCTAGAGCTTCACTTCTTCTGTCCAGGCAAACATACCTGTCAGGAAGAGAACAGAGGCTGAGGCTGTTCCTGTCTATTCCCTCCACGTCCTCGAGAACTCACCTTTTAATTTGCCATGTTAGCTGAGCAGACCCGCAGTCCATTGGTGGACTGACAGTCACACTTCTTCGGGACAGATGAGTTTCTCCACGTCACCAGTTCAGGCTTTGCCTCATTGAAGCCCAGACACGTTTGGAATAGCACTCGGTGATTGGCAGTTCCTCTTGCAGCTAATGAAACTAGAAGAGTCTCCCACGTTCTCAGACTCAGTGGAACTGGAAGGGAAACACACACTGTCTGACTTGCAGTCTGATGGCTGTGTGCAACGGTCAGACAGTTCTGAAGTGCTGACTTTGGGGCCGGCAGTTACTCTGCTCCTGTCTTAGGCTGTACTTGAGCTGTCGTGTCAAGATGATCCATGCCTCTATGTATTTCAGGCTAATTTCAAAATTGGAAAGGGCAAATGGCATTGGGTGTTCTTTAGATTTACAATTTTGCTGAGAAGCCAGGAGTTTGTGATTCTGGTGGCTGGAATTCCTTTCTCAGTCGCAGTCCTTGATAAAGATCGACAGCTACTTCCTTCCTTCAAGGAAGGCCATGTTCTTGAAAATGTCAGCATCGGCCAGAGGATCCTTGGGAGACTAAACAGGCTTGTTGGGAAGCCTTGTTCTCCTCTCCCGTTGTCCTCACTCCGTGTGACGGGAAGTGAAAGGCGGTGGGAGGGGACTGTGGGCTTGGAGGCCCCTGCTTACTTTTACTTTCATGTTGGCCAGCTGCAGAGATGACAGCCAGGGTTCTGTCGCCTCTAGTTAGGTAAGGAAACAGAACCCTGGTCCAGTTCTCACTGCCATGACTGTTGGCAGGGCCTGAGGTGTCAGGTGTCCCCGTTTGGCCCATCTGCTCTGTGCCGTCCAGGGAATGGGCAGATGAGGATGCGGTGTTGGTCGCTGCCGTGGGCTCCCCCGAGTACAGGGTTTCCAGTATCAAGGAGCACTCTGGCTCTCCTTGGTGCTCTGTCCACAGCAGCTTCTGAGCCTTGACACACAGCTCTAGAGATGCAGGCAGCAGCACGTCCGTGGCACCCAGCACTGCAGGCTCTGTTAGGGAGAAGAACCTGACCTTTGCCTGCCTCACAAGTGGGAGAGGGGGAGACTGTTGACCGGGAACTGACCTTTGACACGTTCTCGTTTTCCTGCATTAAGAATCCACCCCACTTACCTCCTCTCACTTCTCTGTATGTCAGCACCCGTCTAGACCTGCTGGAAAACCTCCCCAAACTCCCAGACCATGCCATCCTGGTATAGGAACTTGGAGGAGGAAGTTTTCCTTTTTGGCCTGGTGGATTTTTTTTTTTTTTTTGCATTGAGGGCTAAAGCTTACTTGTATTTGTCCTGTAGATTTATTGCGTTGCATTCGCTACCCACACAGACAGGTGGCCGTTTCCCTGCTGGTGCCTTCGCACAGTAGATAGTACCCCAGTGTTCCCTGCTAGAGCTGTGTGTGGGTGTCCAATTTGCTCCTAATGACAGAACTCTGAAGGTGACTCGGTCCCCGCTGTCATGTAGGCTTCATCCACCAGGGGGAGGCCTCCAGGTTTGGAAATGAGAAGGCAGAGTTAGCCTTGGAGGGAGGGGTCTTGGCCACTGGTCTGCAGTTCCCTCTGGAGGCTCCATCTCTCCGCCTTGCCTTCTCCTGGCCAGGGTTGTCCAGCTTGTCGTTTGGCCCACAGACTTCCCTTGCAACCTGTGTGGTCGCTTCACTAACTGGAAACAAATGTGTTCATGGCAAGCCTAGCATAAACAGGCACTGTCTTGGTCAGTCGCCATTCCGAGAGCCATGCGCGTGGTCAGTATCAGGCACATCCAGCAGTGAGTGAGTGCTCGTTCTCCCTAGCGTTGACCACCACAGGTGCTCCCGTCCCATACGAGACAAGAGCCAAGGTCACCTGCTTGCTCCCTGCAGGGTTGGGAACGGTCTGGTGTCAGTTCTTCTGCTAGAAATGAGCATGTCTGTGGCTTTTTCCCCCAGCACCGTCCAGAAACGTGAGCTGGTGAACCCTGCCAGTGTGAAGCAGGCCCTCATAGCGTCTGCCCGGAGGCTCCCTGGTGTCAATATGTTCGAGCAAGGCCATGGCAAGCTTGACCTGCTGAGAGCCTACCAGATCCTCAACAGCTACAAGCCCCAGGCAAGGTCAGTCGCTTCGTCCTCAACAGGCCCTGCGCACGGAGAATCGGCCCCAAACGAAGCCCAGCTGATCCCGCAGTGTTGGATCGCCTGTGAGCTCGCCCCCTGCTCCCACCACACTGGGGCGCTCGTGAGCTCAGCTCTGCTGGTCCTGCTGCCGTGAGGGCCCGGCCACCACAGCGAGTAACTCCTTTGACCTACTGAGGCCCTTTAGGGTTTGATGTAACGGGTGATGAGTAATGACTTTCTTTAGTTTTGCTTTAAATGTTTTCCTTAGAAACGATTTCAGACTTTCAGGAATTTTTCAGACAGTGTAGAAGGTTTTCATGTACCTTCACCAGCTTCCCCTAATGCACACATTTTAGAACCTTAGCTAACCATGGGGTGACTGTTGAAACCAAGGTATTGACGTCGCCTTTGTGCTGGGATTCATAGTCTCCAGGCTTGGGTCATTCTCCAGTTCCCACTCAGGTCCTGTTGTCCGGGAGCCAGGCCCTGTGCTGTGTTTGGTTGTTGTGTCGTTGTTGCCCCCAGTTTGGGACAGTCTGTTGTATTTCTGGTTAAGTTGCAGTGAGAATACACCCGATAAAGCCTTCACTGATTCCGCAGTGTCCACGCATACAGACCTGGGACACTGATTATGGTCTTCAGGTTGTCGGCCTTTGTTGATATCCTTTCCACATGATCTCACCACTGTGAACATTAACTCAGCGCCCCCTCGGCAGAACTCCCCACCCCCAACCGCTGATCATCTTTGGTGTTTATATATTTGCTAATTTCAAGATACTCAAGCATTTGTTCTTTTGCCAGTGACTTACCCTGCCCAGCATGCCTGTTTCCTAGGTTCACCCATGGTGTGGCATGATTAATTCCACTGTCTTTTGTTGTCATTCATTACTGATGTCTTTGAGGAGTGGTGAACGGGTATTTTGTAGAATGTCCCTAAATTTGGATTTATCTAATGTCTTCTGATAATTGGCTTTGTTGCATATTTTTGGCAAGGTTTTTTTTTTTATATATACTTTTAATTTTTAAATGATTTTAGAGTTAGAAGAAAGTTGTAAAAATAGTACCTGAGGACCCATATGTCCTTCACCTACGTCCCCTAACGTTCACATCCCACAAACCACAGTACAGGGGTCAAAGCCTGGAAATTAACATTGATGCTGTCCTAGTAACTGGTCTACAGACCTTACCCATGTTCCTCTCAGTGTCCCACTAAATGTCCTTTTTCTGGCCCAGGACCCACTCCAGGATCCTGTGTTGCATTTAATTGTCATGTCTCCTTGGTCTTCTCCAACTAAGGACAGCTCCTCTGTTTTTCTTTGACTTGTTCCTGGGGATGTTACTCTTGATCCTTTAGTTAAGGGGTGTGGTAGCTGAGGTCCTCCAAAAACGAGTCACCAGACTGGGATCTTAAAAGCTTGTAAGCGGCCATCTAGATGCAACGAGGCTGTTTCCTCATCCAGAGCAAAGAAGAATGAAAAAAAGCAAAGATTATGGAAACAGTTAGTCCAAGCCACTGGTACACCATGTGATTACATCCTTAAACGACTTTGAGACCAGAAGAACTAGATGGTGCCTGGTTACAACTGTAACCACTTGAAGGGGGGGGTCTTTGTAGGAGATCCTGGATAGAGTGAGAGAACAATGTGGAACAAAACTCAAAATCATTAAAAAAAAAAAAAAGAAGAAGAAGAAGAACCAGATTTGCTGGTCTGATAGAGCCTGATGGAACCCAAGACTGTGGCCCCTAGCTGTCCTTCAGGTCTGGAATTGAACCCACTCCCGTGGCTTCCAGCCCATCAAAAGACAGACATATGAGCTGAACATTTAAATTAGGTAGCTACACTCCTTGGAGAGAACAATCATGGGAGAATAGAAGGGCTGTGTATGCACAGGGAGACAGCTCAGGAGGCAGGAGTGCTTGGAAGGATGGACACAGAGAAGAGGTAACTATGGGAAGGAAGTGGTACGGGAGCTGTTGCATTGTGGGAAATTGCAGTCAATGTCATGAGACAAAGTGTATGTGAGCTGCTGTATGGAAAGTGAATTTGCTCTGTAAACTTTAACCCAAATCACAATTAAAAGGAAGTACATATATTTATTCAGTCTTCCTTGCAAAAAAAAAAGGAGTCACCTGAAACATGGGCTAAGCCACCTGAGAGATTTCTGTGGCTGAAAACCATGAAGGACATGGGAAGGGAGTGAAACAGACAGGAAGTGTCCCAGAGCTGTGCTGCAGGTCTTACATCTATGAGAAAAGAGGAGGGAAGGCAGTTTGGGTAGAAAGGTAGTCTCAGATGGCGGCCAGTGGGGAGCCTTCATCCATGTTGCCTGTTGGAGGGGTCCATTGTCCTGCAGGGATGGGCCTGTCTCATCCCCTCCCCCTGGTGCTCACCCTCTGCTGCGATCGGTCGTTATCTTGGAGCAGCGTGGGGATCGAGTGTGCAGTCTTTTTATCTTCAGCCTCACAGAACGTAGTGGTGCTGCTGGCCACGATTAGAGCAGCTCCCCTCACACCCGTCAGTGTGATGTGTAATTTCATCATAGTGCAGTTGGGCTCCCTTGTCGGGGTCTCGTCCTCTGTGGATCCCTCACATCTCAGTTGATGTCACCTTTTTATTTGGTGTGTGAACTATTACCATGGTTCTAATGACAGAACTAAGGAACTCTGGTGGCACAGTGGTTAAGCACTTAGCTGCTAACCAAAAGGTTTGCAGTTTGAACTCACCAGCAGCTCTGCAGAAGAAAAGACCTGGCAAACTGTTCCCATGAAGAGTGTAGGCTGGAAACCATATTTGACAGATGTCTTCTGTCCTACAAGGTTGCTATGAGTCAGAATTGAGTTGATGGCACCCAACAACCACCACAACAAGGCAAGAACGCACAGAAAGGCTACCCAGAGAACTGTCACTCTTGTCGTCCTTTGTGTCCCCACTCGTGGTCCCCTGGTTTTCCCACTCTGTGCTTACGTGCCCCTGCAGTTCTGGGTCGATGTCTCTGCACAGGCGTGCAGGAGTGTGTGCTTTCCCTCCCCTTCTCTCTTGCTGTAGCTGCCCCGCTGCACTCGGCTTTGGTCACTTCGTGGTATCTGGAGGTCACTCATGCCAGCCCCTGGACAGCTTCATCCTTTACAGCTGCACGAGGTGCCCTTGTTTGTCCATCCCTTGCTTGTGCGCCGGCCTTTATGTTGCTTCCAGTGCTTTTGACAGTGCTGCAGGGGTGAGCCCGGTGCCCCACGTTCCCTTGCTGTTGGAGGTGTGTCTTCCGGCTTCCTGTGCTTGCTCTTTCCTGCCTGCTGGAGGGGTCACAGAGTGACACACATCCACATATGTGCAGTATCTCTGCCCAGGAGAGTCCGCATGAGGCTCAGAGCCCTCAGTGAGGTTTCCACCAGGGGCTGGCCTCAGACTCTGCTACACCCCAATGTTGCAGGCTCCCAGCATGGTTGAGGTGTTCCTATACATGCACTGTGTGTATACACAGTCCAGGCAGGCTGGCACCGGGGCCTGTGCAGCACAGGGCATATCCCAAAGCCAAGTTCTCGGATGCCAGCCAAGGGCAGCCCTGCAAGCAGGCTCTTCTACAGCCCTGCTCGGCTGTGCCAGGTGTTTCCTGCACCGCAGTTGTACTTTGCTGTCATCTCTAATTCGGCCTCTGTGCTGTCACTTTCTTGGTTTCAGTTTGAGCCCCAGCTACATAGATCTGACCGAGTGTCCCTACATGTGGCCCTACTGCTCACAGCCCATCTACTACGGAGGGATGCCCACAATCGTGAACGTCACCATCCTCAACGGCATGGGAGTCACGGGAAGAATTATCGATAAGGTGAAGCCTCTCTCTGGCCCGGGGCCCTCCGACCTGGGCTCTTTGATGTAGTCTGATGGCTGGGTGAATGCGGACGCCACGCCAGCTGCTTCATGCCGTGGTTGCTTCTTCTCGAGTTAAAACAAGTACCACGGTCTCGTCTCCACTGTGGGATGTGGGGGTGTTGGGAATCTGCTGTGTTTACCTGCAGTCTTTTTCAGAGTAAGTTAGAGGAGGAATAAATGAAACCAGTTTGCTGGTTTTTTACTTTGGCATCTTGAGTTTGCTTCTGAATTAACTCCTTATATTTCATTTTCTGTCTTTATGCTCTCCCACCTATCATTAAAGGCTGTAGTGTGTAGAAGACAGGGTGTGTGTTTAGGTTCCATGTTTGTAATGTTTCCCTTCATGTTTACTCATAAGTGTTACCATAACAATAAAGGAAAAAACAAAAATGGAAAAGTCCCTTCCAGCCCCAGCGTACTGAAATGGCTGTTTTGAAAACGCTCTTTTCTAGCCCTTCTGTGACATGTGTGGTTGGCCATCTTTGCTCACCTGGCAGAGTCAGGTTCCTTTTTCCCTTCTCTCTACTGTGTCTGTTTTAAATGTAACTCAGCACGCCAGAGGGAGTCCGCGTGTATTGGCTGTTTCTTGTGCTTGAGCAGTGCGCTGGTTTTAGCTTGTGGGTATTGCAGTCTCTCACTCAGTGTCCCTGTGTGTACACTTTGGTTTTCTTCTGGGTAATTTCCTCAGCAGCAAGTCCCTGGCCTGCAACTGCGAGGTGTGAGTGTTGTTGTGGCTCTTGGTCCTGGCTGCCAGGTTGTTTTCCAGGAGGGTGACATCAGTGACAGTTGCCGCCGTGCTGGTGATGCGTCCCCCCCCAGCCCAGTTGAATTATAATTTACATGCTATAGAATTCCCCCTGGTAAAGCGCACAGCTTATGGGCTTCAGGTATACTCACATAGCTGGACACCATCGCCCCTTCCCACCTCAGGGTTTCTCCTTTCCCCACAGAGAACCTGGGCTGGGACCGCCCCTGTCTGCCCCAGGCCCTGGCAGTCCCCACTCCCCTCTGTCTGTGGCGCTTAGTCTCCACTGGACCTTGCCTGGAGATGAGTCCTAGAATGTGCAGCCTTTGTGTCTGGCTGCCCTCACTTGGCCCATCACTTCCACCCACATTGTGTCATATGTCATACCTCAGTCCTTGTCATTACCAAGATTTGAATAGTTCCCGGTGGCACAGTGGTTTAGATGACAGCCTAGGAAACTCTACGTGGCATTTCTGCTCTGTCACACATGGTTGCTGTGAGTCAGAATCGACTCAGCGGCACAGCAGTGCTGTGCTCACACACCTGGGCCTGTTTACACACTACCACGTACCTGCCCAGTGGGCCCTGGGGGCACAGTGGTGAAACCCTTAGCTGCCAACCTACAGGTCGCAGTTCAAATCCACCAGCCGACCCTTGGGAGAAGGATGAGGCAGTTGGCTTCCATAAAGACTGATAGCCTTGGAAACCCTGTGGACGGTTCCACCCTGTCCTCTAGGGGCGCTGTGGATCTGATTCAACTCCACGGCAGCGGGTGTGATTTGGGCTTTGCTTCCCTGAAGACTGACAGCCCTGGGGACCCCATGGGGCAGTTCCACTCTGTCCTCTAGGGGCACTGTGGGTCAGAATGGACTCCACGGCAGTGGGTGTGGTTTGGGCTTTGCTTCTGTGAAGATTGACAGCCTTGGAGACCCTGTGGGGCAGTTCCACTCTGTCCTCTAGGGGCGCTGTGGGTCAGAATGGACTCAGTGGCAGTGACAAATGTTCCACTGTATGTACATTCCACATTTTCTTTACATTCATCCATGGATTGCGTTGTGGTTCATTGTATAACGTTAAACATAGCAGGCATAAGATAGGTTCCCTGTTCATTTTGCATTTCTTTGGTTTTTTCTTGTGAGGCGGGTGTCATTCCAGGTGGTTTACTAATGATATTTCCTCGTGTGTGTGTGGGTTATCTTTTTGGCCCATTTTCCTACTAGACTCAGGTTTTCTCCATCTATCTGAACAGGATCTTCAGATCACCTTTTGTTGGGTTTTATGCAGAGTCTTCTTCCAGGTTAGGGTTCTCCTTTCTCTTAAGTAGTCGTTCTTGTGCTTTAACTGCTTTTTTTTAGTTTTGTAAAAGTTGACATTTTTGTACAGTTGCATTGCTTATCTTTTGGTCTGTTCGGCTGTTTAGAAGATGAGAATCTTACTCCTCCAGGGATGGATCACACCTCAGTTCTGTTCTCTACTTGTGAACTCTTCTCTCTGTTTGGGGTTACTTTGACATGTGGTTAAGAGATGGACACAAGCTACGCTTTGCCTCAGTTGCTAACTAGTGGTCCCAGAAACGTTTACTCAAAGTTCCTCTTTTCTCATGGTTTGTGATGCTCCGTCCTATAGATGTCCTTTTTTCCTTTTCAGAATTTTGTTCTTTTTAACATCCTGACTCCCTTGAGCAGTGTAGCGCTGACGCTGGGGTCTGGCCTGGTGGGCTGCTCATCCCAGGAGCTTGTGTCTGCGTCTGCCGACGGGCAGCCTCTCTTGCTGCCTTTCTGCTTTCCTGGGACGTGGGTGAGGCTGTGCCGGCAGCTGGCTCTCCAGCCGAGCAGCCCTTCTCGGCTTCCCCACAAACCTCTCCCTGCCAGATCTCCAGCTTCAGAATTTGACGGGACGTTGTCATCCATGTCGTTTTACCCCTTCCTTTCTTTTTTATTATTTTTGAACGTAGTTTATTGAAGTATAAATTACATACAGTGAAATACTCAAAACTAAAGTGACATGGGGCACTTTGTCCCTTTCACTTGATATAATTTTCTGAGCGTATATATAGCTAGTTGGGCTCTAGGTTCAAGTCTCAGGTTCTTAAATCAGGTAGAAATGCTTTTTCAGCTGCTTGTCCGTCCACCCTCCCCTTCTAAATACTTCTTTCTTGAATTGAGGAAATCTCCAGAAAATCCGAGGCTCAGAAATGGTGGTTTGCCAGCTTTCTAGCGGATCATCTCCCAGAGGTGACTCGGGCTTGTCATAGGGCACTGAGCGTCTGTGTACAGATTTCCATTGAGTTAGGAAGGTGAGGCGTCGTGGCGATGCCTGTGGCTCCAGGCCTTCCTCCCTGAGCATGTCCCATCAGCCTCTGCTTACTCTCCCCGCAGCCTGACTGGCAGCCCTACCTGCCCCAGAACGGAGACAACATCGAGGTCGCTTTCTCCTACTCCTCAGTACTGTGGCCGTGGTCGGGCTACCTGGCCATCTCTATTTCTGTCACCAAGAAAGCGGCTTCCTGGGAAGGCATTGCCCAAGGTCATGTGATGATTACCGTGGCCTCCCCAGCAGAGATGGAAGTAAGTGCATACCTCTTCCTCCCGTGTCGCCTGCCAGGCAGGAAAGAGCAGGCTGACGGGCAGGGTCTCTGAGGCACTGGATCTCAAGGAACCCGCCCAGGGAGGGAGGAGTCCTGCCTCCTGCTCTGTTGGTGAGCCACAACAGATGTGATGGCTTCATGCCGGGTTTCAAGTTCATGAGGACAGCGCCCAAGTTTGTGTTGTGTGAAAGGAAATGGGGGAGGGCTAATCTTCTGTAGGCCCGGAGGCTTTATGAGCAAAGTGCCTTACCCTGTGAGCCTCGACACTTAGCAAAGAGTCGGCATGGGAGTAATGGTGCTGCTGGAATCTGTGTCTTCATGCCTTTGTCAGCATTGGAAATGCTTGTGGGCAAAGCCTTTGGATTAAATTGACAAACAGAGAGGACTCTGAAAACCAGAAGACCTGACAGCTGCTTCTGTACCGAGGGGCATTTTCAGGTTTCCTTGATTTTTTTCCAGTCACAACATGGTACCGAGCAGACTTCCACAGTGAAGCTCCCCATCAAGGTGAAGGTCATCCCCACACCGCCTCGAAGCAAGCGGGTTCTCTGGGACCAGTACCATAACCTGCGCTACCCGCCCGGCTATTTCCCCAGGGACAACTTAAGGATGAAGAACGACCCTCTGGACTGGTAAGCCACGCCCACGCGTGCTCATTGCCCTGTGGCTGTCCCCTGTGGGGCCACGCCCCACGCATGCTTGTCGCCCCTGTGGCTGTCCCCTGTGGGCCTGGGGCTTGCTGCTTCTGCCTGGGGGTCAGCCTCTTGAGCCTGAAAGCCATGACCCCGACTTTGTGGGTTCTCATGCTCTTTGGGTGCTTTATGCGTCTCCCTTGAAGGATCCCTCCCAATTGTAATTGACTGACTGTGTGATCAGAAACCTCGAGGTCCTCTCCACTGCTCTCTCCCTTACTGCTCCCATGGAGTCAGTCAGCAAATCCTGCTGTTACACCTTAGAAGTACATGCTGGATCCCACCGTGTCTCACCATCTCCTCCACCCTGTCCTTTTCCAAACCATTGTCATCACTCACCTGTGTGGCACCAGCAGCCTCCTCCCAGTCTCAGTGCTGTCACCCTCCGAGCCACCGTGCTAATCTTTTTAAGACATACGTGATTCCATGCTCGGCTTCAGACTCTTCAGTGTGCCTCTTCAGACTTCTTCTCGTGGCAGAACTCCTTGGTGTGATTAGTGTGGTATTGAAAGGTTTCTGCTTGGTCATGTTTGCCCTTTAAGCTGCCTTCTCTACAAGGCGGATGGAAGAAGGCTCGTTGAGAGGCAGGTAGTGTGTGAGGTTGGTAAAGCCGGGGCAGCAGTCGTGAGCCTAGAGAGAGTGCATGGCTTGGCGTTGTGGAGGCGACCAGCTCTGGAGGTCCCGGTTAGGATTGGGGTGGTGGTGCTCGGGCAGTTGGGTGCTAGCTGGCTTCCATAGCAAGTGCGGGAAGACGAGCGTGCACAAAGGGAGAGGTGGCCCATGGGAGTGCGGTGCAGGTTGCTGTGTGTGGCCGTGTCATGTCTGCACGGGCGCTAGCCTCTGTGTTCTCGTGCTGTGGGCTGAGCTCGGCTGCCAGAGGCAGGCGGCGACCACCAATTTGCAGACCCCCTGTCCACTGCAGCTGTGTGCCAGTGCACTGGCCAGTCCTCTCTGCAACGGCCTTTTCCTGTTGATTTTTCTTCTGCATGCACATGCCATGCACAGTCTCTTACCATCATCCCTTGTCACACGTCCAGCCCAGAGAGCCAGTCGGAAAGCCCCACCTGTGGGCCAGTGGGCTGGACCTCGTGAGCCTCTTTGCTGGTGACCTAGCTGGGTGGGCTTCCTTCTGACCACAGACTGACCATCTTCCTGCCGTGGCACTCGCCTTTCAGGAACGGCGACCACATCCACACGAACTTCAGGGACATGTACCAACATCTGAGGAGCATGGGCTACTTTGTGGAGGTCCTTGGTGCCCCCTTCACGTGCTTTGATGCTAATCAGTACGGTGAGCAGTGACTGCATGCCATCCACAGACCCCCCCCCCCCCCCAGCCATCGTTGGGTTTGCTACATGCTTACAGGGTGAATGACAGCATTAAACGACAGGCCTACAAGGAGTCTCCTCGTCCTGGTGGAGGCCGGACAAGGCTTTCAATCACACTATCACACTGCATGCGTCCCTGTCGGGTGGGGTGACTGTGATGTCCAGGTAAAGCACCAACTGCCAGACTGCTTGGGGACAGGGACATTTGTACATCTTTCGAAAGCTAGAAGCTCTAGCGGTGTAGTGTTTTTTATTCCATCACAAATGAGAACAGAAGGCTGCAGCTGGCTGGCCCCCGGGTGTTGTCGAACCCTGCTCATTTACTTTTTTCACCCCTTTTTCAGTGGCACAAACCAAAGATTAGGTGCCAGGAACGTGAGACATAGTCCCCAGTAGATCCCTTCAGAGGTGCAGTTCCCACCCCTGGTCTCGTTTGCCTAGGAACGCTGCTGATGGTGGACAGCGAGGAGGAGTACTTCCCTGAAGAGATTGCCAAGCTGAGGAGGGACGTGGACAATGGCCTCTCGCTCATTGTCTTCAGTGATTGGTACAACACCTCCGTTATGAGAAAAGTGAAGTTTTATGATGAAAACACAAGGTACTGCTATGAGGTGGTGTTTAGATGAGAAACCTGACTTGGGGAATTAACATCTGTCCAGCAGATCTTTAAATGACTGACCTGCTGGTGGTCTTTTCCAAGACATGTTCAGAAAGCTTGGGTGGGAAGAGCTTTCTCTCCATACAGCGGATATGCTCTTGAAAAATGCTGTAAAATGATACTTTGCAAAATAAGTAAAATACCCGTTGCTTTGAGTATTAATTTCGAGACTTCAGCATCTTTTCTTGTTGAGCTGTAAGTTCTGTTAACTCAATCTGTACAACTACTAGCACACCACAGGAACTGTTATTGAAAGGAACCTTCTAGAAACTAATAATCAACCAAGCATTCCCATTGTATTCCAGGCAGTCCCTGGGTTACAAACGTACCTCAGTGCAGGGCTTCCAACCTGTTCTGTTGTGGCTGACAGAGAGAAACAGGGACAGATCGGAGTCTTACGATTTGGGTGATTGGCCATAGTACTAGAACAGGAACCATTACAGGTGAAAGCCCTGGCATGAGAGACTTGGAAAGGGTATAGTGAGCCCTTCAGGAGCCTGACTGCATTATTGGCCTATGGAAAGCCATAGGGAGCTCTGGTGCTGCAATGTTGAAGGCTATTGGTTACTAACCAGATTAGTAGTTCAAAACCACCAGCTTCTCTGTGGGAAGAAGATGAGGCAGTCTACTTCCATAAAGATTTAAAGCCGTGGAAGCTCTATGCGTTGCTGTGAGTTGGAATCAACCCGATGGCAGGGGGTATAGAAAATTATAAGAAGTCCTGGTGGTGCAGTGGTTAAAGCAGTCACCTGGAACCAAACAGTCTGCAGTTTGAACCCTTCAACAGCTCCATGGGAGAAAGATGTAGCATTCCACTTCTGTAAAGATGTACATCCTTGGAAACCTTCTGGGGCTGTTCTACTCTGCTATATCATGTTACTCTGAGTCTGAATCAACTGGATCACAGTGGATTTGGGTTTTTTGGTTTGGTGGAAAGCCACACACATGCAAAGCAGTGTGATCAGCTGCCATCTTTGAGTGGAGCACCGCCATCTTTGAGTGGAGCACTGCCATCTTTGAGCGGAGCACCACCATCTTTGAGCAGGGCAGTGCTGTTTCACAGCCCTGCTTTAGTACTAGGTAGATTGGCCCTCACTTTGAAACAGGTGAACCAACTCCTACTCGCAACAAATTCTTCATCACAGTTACCTTCACTTGCTGCATGCACAGCTTTTAAATTGTTGGAAAGGCTTGGAACCTTTTCTTGCACCAAAGTAAGATTAAAGAAGAGTTGTACGCAGGTGTTCCAACTGACCTACAAATTCTTAAAGACACAGGAACCAATCTTGGTCATAACCTGCAGATTGGCTGTGTAATACCCTTATAGTAGATTTGGAAATTTTTTCTTTAGAGTCTTTGAACTTTTCTTTTTTTGTGTGTGTTGGGGTGAAAGTTTACAGAGCAGATTTACTTTCCATACAGCAGCTCACGTATACTTTGTCTCATAACATTGACTGCAATTTACTACAATTCCCTCCAAATTCCTACAGAATCCCTCCCACTTCCTCCTCATAATTACCTCTTCACTGTGTCCTGCCCTCCCATGCACTCCTGCCCCCTGAGCTGTCTCCCTGTGCATACACTGCCCTTCTATTCTCTCATGATTGAGCTCTCCAAGGAGTATATCTACCTAATGTAAATGTTCAGCTCATATGCCTGTCTTTGTTTGCCTGGAAGCCACAGGAGTGGGTTCAGTTCTAGACCTGAAGGGCAATAGAGTCTTTGAACTTTTACATGTTTGTTTGTCTTTTCCTCACCTACAAATCTTGTCTAGATCTAGGCTAAGCTGTTGAGTGAGAGTGTTTCAATGAAATGCTTTCATTTCATTAAAAATACTCTTCCTGCACTTTGCATCCTGGGTCCAGTGCAGTCATTAGCCTGAGCTGAATCTTCAGCATGGACAGACTGGAGTGTGGCGGGGGCACGGTGGTGACAGTGGTCAGTGTGTGTGTGCTCAGAGCCTGTGCCTTGCTTTCACTTTCACAGACAGTGGTGGATGCCGGACACGGGAGGCGCCAACGTCCCAGCGCTCAATGAGCTGCTCTCGGTCTGGAACATGGCGTTCAGCGACGGCCTGTACGAAGGGGACTTTACCCTGGCAAACCATGACAGTGAGGCTCTGTATTTACTTTCTCTAAACGGCACGTTGTTTCTTGAGTTGTGATCTCGGGAGACTTGTCTCTGAAGTCTGAGTTTCAGAGCAAGGAAGTTGTAATTCCTGAATAAGCAACTCAGTATTTTCAAGAAGTCCATCACGCAGTGTGCTGACCACTGTCCTTCTGTCCAGATTTTTTAATGAAAATATTTTACGCAAGCATTCCTAATTTTGGTGCCATCTACAAAAATTTTTCTCACGGAGTTCTGATGGTTCTGTGGTTAACAAACTTGGCTGCTAACCAAAAAGATAGTAGGCAGTTCAGACCCACCAGTTACTCTGCAGGAGAAAGGTGGGGCTGTCTGCTTCTGTAAAGATTTACAGCCTTGGAGACCCTATGGGGCAGTTGTGGTCTCTTCAAGGGTTCGCTCTGAGTTGGAGTTGACTTGATGGTGGTGGGGTAAAATTTTTCATGTACTGTATACTATCGAATGGTGAATTATCATTGTTTATAAAATCCTGTTGCTGAAATAACTGCACGTCTTGGTCGTGACGCCTCCTGTAGGTAAGCGTCCAGCGGCTTGTTTCCGCAACAGCACTTGAACGTGGTTATCAGTGATTGTGCCCATCCCGACTTGGAAGGCTTAATTAAGTCCCTGGCAGCTCTCTGTTCAGAAACTGGTGTCAGCAGTATTTTTTTTTAAACTAGAATTTTGAGACAATTACTTGTATTGAAGTGTGACAAGGCAGTAGCAGCTCTCAAAAACAATTTTTAAAAATGGTATAATTTGCCAAGAGTGAATTTTGGGTGAATGACTAGTTCTTGATGCCAGTGTGGCGTGTTTGTGTTCTGGTTACTTTCCATAACTCTCCTCTAGTGTATTACGCGTCAGGGTGCAGCATCGCCAAGTTCCCAGAAGACGGCATAGTGATCATGCAGACGTTCAAGGACCAAGGTAAAGAACTCTGCGCAGAGGCGCTTTGGTTCTTCTTTTTATGATAACGTTTATTGACGGTAATTCACGTGCTGATAATTATCTTTTTGGCGTATACAGTGCAATGGTTTTAATATAGTCACACAGTTCTGCACCCTCCACCGGTATGTCATTCCAGAACAGCTTATCACCCCTGAAGAAATCCTAGCCCCTTAGCTGTTCCTCATGCCATTAGTGTTCTGTGTTGCAGAACGAGCGGCCCCTCTTGAAGCGCACCATTGCCATAACTGACGTCAGGACGTTTTATTAGCTCAGAAGGATGAGCAGTCAGCAGTTCTCACTGGTCTGTCTGCAGCTGCAGGGTGGAGCTAAAGTCCCGAGAGGCTCTCCCCAGTTGTACTACCTGCAGGGGGTCCATCTTTTGCATCAAAGCCACCTGGTCAGTCCACGGATCTGTGCTGCGTAGGTTATGTTTTCACTCGAAATCTGTGACTGGTCGTGTCTTCCCCTGTCATATGGTACAGCTTACAGTGGGTTAGCAATTCCTTCTGAAGGCAGTATCTCACAGGACAGTGTCACTGCTGTCATTGGGCACACTCGGGGGCCATCTGTGACTCGCTGCTTTGGGCAAGGAGAAGCAAAATTAGATTTGAAGTGCTTCCTTAAAGAACCGTCTGCATGGGATCAAAAGGCCAAGGGTTACAGTAAAGCGAAGGTGAGACGGTGGGGGCAGGGAGGCTACACAGTGGCAGTAGAACAAGCAGGAAGGCCACACAAGGCTTTCTGTTACGTCACTGTGTGACCTGCTGAACAGACAGTGCTTTGTGTTGATGTGTATCCTTTGTGAGAACAGGAAGGATTTGAACTGTGAAGGACTATGCAGACTGGAGTAGAAACAGATCTTTACAACAAGTGTCGACATGAAGAATTTTTTAAATAAGAATTAAATGAGGATTTCATTTTAAAAGGAGAGAAATGTCTTACAAAGAAGTTCAACTTAAAGATGCATACTTTATGTTGGTGCTCTGCCACGGTCTGAAGTAAAAATTAATTACCTTGAAATCCTTTGACAGGGCGGCGTCTTTGTTTCCAGAAAGGCCTTGAGTTGAGTCATCTTTTAGGGTGCAGAGCAGGCATTTGGAAATCTGGGTTACGCGGGGCCAGAGGCAGCCCATTGTCAGGAGCCACGAGGCCCAAAGGTGGAGTGTGTGTCTTTGCACCGTCCACATGCATTGCTGCTAGCTTCCCCCCTCCCTCCAGAGCAAGTCTTGCTGCTTTCCCGCTTGGCCTCAGGTGGACCGATCCACAGAGAGCATGACAAGGGGCAGTTTGATAGTGTGGTAACATTTTAAATGTTCCTGACCCAGTGCCTTCTGGACTCTGCTGATGTTGCCCTCTAGATTCTGTTGCTGAAGTGTGCGCTTGGTCTGCGGGTGAAGATGTTCAGGTTGTAGGCTGAGCACTGAGAACTGCTGCCTGGGGCTTGGGTACCTTGTTGACCTCTGACCTGTTCCACCTTCTCAGCTGTGTTCGGGTATGCTTGGTTCTAAGAGGCTCTGCTGTCAGGATGTGTGTGGGGGATTAAAGAAACAGAGCTGCAACCTGAATTTTAAACATTCTAAACGTCAGTCACATCTCTTCTGGCTTCACATGATAAGATGTGAAACCTGGGTGACCATACAGCTACGTCCCAGACACCTCCGTGTGTAGCAGGAACAGTCCAAAGGCAGGGGCTGTCAGGAGGAGACGGCAGATAAGAATTCCTTTTGGCATGCACAAGGAGCAGTGATGGTGCTAGGCTTGTGGACCAAAGACTCTGTACCTCCGTTTCAAGCAAAAATGAAAGAAGATGGAGTGATAAATTATGCTAAAATCCAAATTAGTGCCTTTTAAGATGTTTTCCTATCCTACAAGTGTTCACTGTTTCATAAAATGCTGAATTTTGCCATGATTTTATGTTTGTTAAGTGATAACTAGAAAATAATTGGTTCTTTGACAGAAATTCTTGTTTTTTGTGTGTGTTGCTTTAGGGTTGGAGGTGTTAAAGCAGGAGACGGCGCTGGTTGAAAATGTCCCCATCTTAGGCCTTTATCAGATCCCGTCTGAGGGTGGAGGCCGGATTGTGCTATACGGGGACTCCAACTGCTTGGATGACAGTCACCGGCAGAAGGGTGAGGACAGCAGTGCGGCAGGACGGCGCACGGGCCCTGGTGACTTCCTCACTTTCCCTGGGAGCCCTGGTGAAGGGCTGGTGAACAGGCCTTGCCCACATGAGCCAAGTGCAAGTGGGCTGGCCCAGTAGCTCCGGGTTGCTTGGAGTTTTTGATAGGTATTGAGTCCGGATGCATTTAAGAAACAGAAGAGACCTGCTTCGGCACCGTGCGATGCCTTCTCCGTCCCCACCCTCCCGAGGCCGGTGGGTGCCTGGCATCCATCAGGGAGTGCGATGGACCCCAGCTTTACCCTCTGGGCTGCCTGTGTGCCTCCAGCGCGGCCACACGGGAGCAGCAGCGTTCCCCATTCTCCTCTCAGACCTGGGGGTTTTGGCTGCTTGGGCCTTTGTCCTCCAGAGGGGTGTGTCACAACCTTCAGGGGTGTTAGGGGCGACAAGGAGGAGGATAGCCCCCCTTTGCTGGTGTCTCTCAGGGCAGCTTCCAGACTTTGGGCTGTTGAGATGGGCTGCACACTGTGTCCTGTTTTATGGAGGAGGAAGTGGGAGGGTGAAGCGTGACATTGCAGAAAGGGCACGGGGGAAGCATCTGACCTGTAACGTCATGAGGTGGCGGTTGGAGGTCACTCTGAGCAGCATCAGCCCAAGGCTGCTTCCTGCGAGGTGGAGGTCGTTGTACCGCTGGCACCTCTGACCTTTTTCCAAACTCTCACACCAACCACCCCTCTCCTGACGCTCTCTGCTTCTTTGCTGGGTTTGGTCATTTGTTGCAGTGGCCACAATACTCAGATTATGGGGTTTGTTAGGGAGGTAACAGGTTACAATTCAGGATCAGAAACAACTTAAGACGGCGTCCCCTCAGCTGTGCCTGAAGGCATGCTTCTCTCTGGCCTCAGCCAGGGCCTGTGTTAGGAAGCTTCTCGCTTTGCTGAATGGGAGCCCAGAGGGACACCCCTTCCACCCAGGCTTCCTGCCTGAGGCGCTTGGCTTTCTCACTCTGTGGGGCATGCTATCTCAGCCCGTTTTTGGTTCTGCTTCTGGCATCTCGCTGCCATCTCAGCACAGGGATCCCAGGTCCATGGACGTGTTCCACGCCCTGCTCTTCTCCATGGCGGTGAGACCCCCCTTTCTGCCTTTGGGATGGCTCGTTTGAGCCTGGGATGGCTCACTGAAGTGGGTAACAGAACTGACTCATCTCCACGTAAGAATTCCACGCATCTTTTTTGCGTGGTCCCACCCCCACAAGGGTGCCATGGACCTTCTTTACATTATTGACAAGCTGTTCAGTCCCCTTGGTGGGCCACAAGCACCTCACACTTGCATAGTCCCAGCCAGTGCCACCCAGTCATCTGGTGGGAGTCATACAGACCCTGGCTGGAAGAGCCATGCCAGGTAATTCACTGCATCTTACACATGTTCCCGCTGAGTAACAGTTGGCAGAAGCAGGGCTGGAACCTAGTGTTCTGACGCAGTGAGACCCCTGGAAAAGTGTGTGTGTGTGGAGTGGTATCTGTCCCAGTGCTTGCAGATCACTGGAAGAGCGCAGCTGGAGGAAAATAGCCTCAGAGCTTTAATGGCGTCACACCCCTACCCCCGCCCCTGCCCGTGCTTTCCCCTCTTCCCTCCCTCCCTGCCCTCCCTTCTCTACCCTCCCCTCCTTCCTCTCCTTTTCTCCCTCTCCTCCCTCCTCTCTCTCTGATTTTAAGTTGAAGTTGAGTAAATTCCTAGCGTTTTATGTAAATCCTTAGACTGTGATTGGACTTCTTAAAAATCAAAAGTGACAGTTGAAGAAAGATTAGCGTTTTCTTTTAAAGACTCACGATCACCTGGGTAAGATTTAAAATGCTGAGAAGACTGTCCCAGCCCTTCACTTGCAGATGGCAGCCTTAGGGCCTCACAGGGTCTTGCAGCATGTGACTGGAAGTGCCCTTGACTGAGCACAAAGTACGTCATGGTGTTTTTCTCTAGCGACTCTCACCTGGTCCAGGTTGATGATAACGGGAACAGTAGTTCCAGGCTTCAGTGCAGTGTGGCATCTTTAGGCTCTGGTGGAGCCGGGCCTGTGGAGCTCTGTGAGTGGGAGCTGGTGATCCTGGCTCAGCACCTGGACTCCTGGGACGTCCGCAAGAGTCACGGCCCGCTCTCTGCTCTCTATGTCAAGGACTGGGAGCCACCAGCCTGAATGGCCGTGCATGTTAGTAACTGTCCCGCCTCCTTCAGGCATACCTGCTGGCTCTCACCTTGAGTGGTGGCAGGGCTCTGGCCCTTGCCCGGGGCCAGTGGGTGCTCGGGCAGAGTTCGGCCACCACTGGTTGTGGAGGTGCTGCTGCTGCTGGAGCGCAGGCCCTGGAGTGAAGCCCCGGCTGGTCACATCTGCACCTCTTGGTCGGTGGCCTGGGAGGCCATGTGGGGCCAGGAGCTGTTGTTGTTGTTATGTGCCGTCGAGTTGGACCCAACTCATAGCGCCCAGGAACTGGTGAGCTGGAATGTGCCGGTTTGCTTTGGCCTGCAATCTGCCACTGTTCTCCTTCCACTTTGAGGTCACTTTCTTTTATCTTTCTGTATGGTTCCTCCTAAAATAGCATCTTTCCTAACCAACATGCTTGCTCACTCCACAGACTGCTTTTGGCTGCTGGACGCTCTCCTTCAGTACACATCGTATGGGGTGACCCCTCCCAGCCTCAGTCATTCCGGAAACCGGCAGCGCCCGCCAAGCGGAGTGGGCTCCATCACCCCAGAGAGGATGGAAGGTGAGTGGCTGGTTCAGTGCTCAGAGGGGAGTGGTCCAGCCCAACATGACACTGCTCTCTCAGCATGTGCACGGCGTTTTCCTTAATGGCTACGGGGGGCATAGCAGATGGCTGTGGCCTGGCCCTGTGGACGCTGCGGAGGGCTGTGTGCTCCAGGTGCCTTGACATGCTCGAAATCCTCCCTCCCCACAAGCTCAGCTGGGACTCCCCAACCCCAGGTGCAGGAAGCGGAGCATGGAAGTTTGCAGCTAGACCAGCTAACATTGTGAGCACGCTCTAGGTACCAGGCACGGGGCTGGCGCTTTCCATGGATTAGCTCCTAAGTCCTTGCTGTAATCCTGTGTAAGGGGGTCTTTTATCGTCTCAGTTTCCAGATGAAGAGGCAGTATCCAGAGAAATTAAGTAACTGGTCAGGGTCACCAGGTGGTCACAGTGGCCTTGGCAGGTCTCATGGATAGCAGGACTGGCTAGCATGGACCAATTTGGAGGTCTGCCAGGCATAACTTTAACTGGTCTCCAGCCCCTGAAAATGTAAAAAGAAATGGGCAAAGCTCATTCAGTACATCACAGATGTTGTCACTGCAACATGGGCCCTTTGTCAGGAGCTCGGTGGCCACGTTTGGCTCCGGTGTCAGATGGTACAGATCTAAGGAAGAAGAAATGGGAAGTTGGAAGATGCAGGGTTTCTGCTTTTTGTTTAGGGGAGAGGAAAATGTTTCCACGAAGCCTGTCTGCAGGTGGGCGTTCTCGTGCATGGCCTGGAGCATGCACTGAGGGTCAGGAAACACTGACCACCTGCTGCTGTGCACCGTGTGACTGTCAGGGCGTGGTCTGTTCCGATGGACCCACTCACCTGCAGCGGGAGGACTTACCGCCTGCAGGGCACCATCAGGGCACTGTCCTAGGCACTGGCAGAGCCTGTAGGACGTGCTTCCGAGGAGCATGGTGGGCCTCTCACCAGCAAAGCCTCTGCTTGCCCCTTGCTGCTTACTGACAAGCCTTTCTCCTTCCCACTGACATTGCGTGGTCTATAGGAAACCACCTGCACCGGTACTCCAAGGTCCTCGAGGCCCACCTAGGAGACCCGAAGCCCCGAGCGCTGCCTGCCTGCCCACACCTGTCCTGGGCCAAGCCACAGCCCCTGAATGAGACGGCTCCCAGGTGAGTGGAGCTGTGGGCTCAGTGCTACCTGACTTCTTTATTTGTAAGAGAGAGGCATTTTATACCGTACGGTCATATAATCAGATCTCCTGACTTGTCTTCTTGTGATAGGATTGAAATTAGTGAGCCCCAGCTTGACCTTTGGAATTATGTTCCTCAGCGGTGTCCTGTGTGAAGATACTGCTGTGGGTAACTAGAGTCCTGCTGCTCTCTATAGTGTCGTGTGCCATCAAGTCGGTGCTATCTCATAGTGAGTGACTTTGTAGGACAGAACTGCCCCATAGGGTTTTTAAGGCTGTAATCTTCATGGAAGCAGACTGCCACATGGTTCTCCAACAGGGCAGCTGGTGGGTTCAAATTGGCGACCTTTTGCTTAGCAGCCAAATGTTTAACCACCAGAGTTCCTTAGAATGTTGTTAGGTGTGGTTAATTCTTGGTTAAAGTGCTGTGACCAGCAGGCACTGTCTGAGCCAGAGCCCGGGCTCCTTTTGGTGAGGGCGTGGCATCCTGATGCTTGAAGCGATGGCTTCTGTGCAGGTGTCGAGTGAGATGAACGGCAGACCGACTGGGGTTCCTGGGACGAGGTTTGGGTTCTGAGGTGGAGCCTGACCCTGAGGCATCTGCTGTGGCCTTCAGTTCCTGTGCAGGTGTTGTCCCTGGTGAGCGTAGTCTCCCGAGATGACAGCGAGAGCCCCGTCACTCGCCCTTCCTCCCCCGTGTGCACAGTGTGTCTGTCTCCGCCTCTCCATTGGTGCCATCCCGTGCTGTCTCTGGGTGGAGTGAGCTGACTTGGAATGACTGCTCTCCGTTTCTCTGGTTCCCTTTGAGTCCCCACCGCTCTGGCCCTGAGCAGGACACTCCTATTCTGGCAAGGGTGTTTAGGGCTTCCTGACAAAAAGTACAGGAGCTATTTTTGCAAAGCCAGGGCCTAGGTTGCAAGCACAGCGGAGCTCCCTCCCTCTGTTTGCAGTGGTTGCTGCACTGGGACCCTGCCTTCTGGCAGGAGCATACTTCACACCCTCCCGGGCCAGGCAGCTGCCTGGTAGCCAGCCGTCTTCCCATCCACACCACCTCTGCCAACAGGTTCCCCCTCTGGTGACATCTCGTACCTTCTTGTCCTTTGCCCTTCAAGGCTGCCCGTGGTGTCCACTTTGCTTGGATCTCAGCAACGTACAGGTGTTGGTGGGGCTGGGGAGAGGGCTGTGAGGGATGCTGTAGGTAATGAGGAGGAGGCTGTGTGTGGAAGGCCTGGAAGACATCTGCTCTCTCCCTGCACACACAGCACTCAGGACAGCCCTCGTGGATCACGGGGCATCTGTGCAGTGTGTTGAAGGGACGGTGTGATCGCAGAGCCAACACGTCGTCTTCTCATTAGCACTTTGCCCCTGTTCCACTCACGCCTCATTCTTTGTCCTTCAAGTTCTGAGGAGTTTCCATTTTCACACCATTGATTTACAAGCTCCCAACATGCAGACTAGCCGTGGCCAGCAGCTCCCACACGTTCCAGAAATCTATTTCTCCGCAGGGCTGTCTGGGACTCTGAGAAACAGTAGCAGTGACCCTTGCTGTCTCCCTGCCCCATCATGTAATCATTTAGTTCTAGATTGGTCCCTTGGGGATATTGATAAGCATAGCTCCTAAAATGTCATTTCTCTTGGGCTCAGTAATCCCTTCCAGGTATGTCCACCCATTATCTCACGTGATTTCACATCTTGTTGGCGATTACTCTCAGGACTCCATCTGGATGTATTGTGTGTCCCTGGAAGAATGTGTGACAGGGCAAGGGTGGCCACAGGGGCCGCCCACCGACGTGCTGCTGTGTCGGGCGGCAGCTTCCACACATGAGGGCACTGCAGGGGTGTTGGACCTGCAGGAAGCTCAGCCCCGGTGATGCTTTCCTTCTGTCGATGCTTTCCTTCTGTCGTGTCGTTACCATGATCGCTTCAGTAGAAAGTGCTGTCACCAAACAGTGAAATTCCAGCCCAGGATCTCACTGTCAGCGCCAAGATACAGGCCCACCACACATTCAGCTAAGGTGTCATAAAGCCTCCAGATCATTGGTTCCGTGGCTCAACCTTGTCAGTTTCAGACAGATGAAACCTGAAATATACAGGCAGTCAGGTTCCTTAGAACAGGTTTCAATACCCATTGGCATTTTCCAAGCGATTGCCCAACTGGAAATGTCTGGCAGGGTTTCTCTCTTACTGCATGGAAGGCTTCTTCCGAGACCTGAAGAGATGCCTGGCTTCACCTTGGCCTTCATCCTCATGGGTGATAAAACTGGACGTTGCTACTTCCCCTCGGCCAGAATAAGAGCGGCAGGCGCAATCTCACTGTGGATAAACAGCAGAAGATGTGGGGACTTTGTCATTTGCAGATGTTGTTTCACTCCTTCCCTTCTGGTGGCAGGAACAGTGCTCATGTTTTCCACACGTGCCCCGCCTCTGATCTCAGTGCCTTCCCAGACTGTCTGCCGCTGTTGACAGCTCGTCGGTCTCTCATTCGTCTCTTGAAGTCGTGTGATCTGAACAAGTGCTCAGATCTAAGGACTGATAATAATCACAGTGTTGCTATAACTAGGGCCGTACACATTGCAGAGCACGTGTGCTCCTCGGTCTTAGAGCACCTGCCCTGGCAGATGAGGCTGAGTGGATTCCAAGTATTACTACTCAGACACTCTGCCCTGGTGTCAGGTACCTTCAAGTTAATTCCAACTCTCGGCACCCCTAGAGGACAGACTCAAACGGCCCCATGGGGTTTGTTGTTGTTGTTAAGTGCCGTCGAGTCATTTCCGACCCATAGCGACCCCATGCACAGCAGAACGAAACACTGCCCGGTCCCGTGCCAGCTCCATGATCCCTGCTATACTTGAGCCCATCGTCACAGCCACCGTGTCAATCCATCTCATTGAAGGCCTTCCCCTCTTTGGTCGACCCTCCACCCTACCAAGCATGACATCCTTCTCCAGGGAATGGTCCTTTCTGACAACATGACCAGAGTAGGTGAGACAAAGTCTGGCCATTCTCGCTTCTTCAGAGCATTTCGGGTGCACTTCCTCCAGGACAGATCTATTAGCTCTTTTAGCAGTCTATGGTACCTTCAGCATTCTTCGCCAGCACCGCATCTCAGAAGCATCAGTTCTTCTTCAGTCTTCCTTAATCATTGTCCAGCTCTCACATGCATACGAGGCAATTGGAAATACCATGGCCTGTGTCAGGCGTACCTTGGTCCTCAGGGAGACATCCTTGCTCTTCGGCACTTGAAAGGAGTTCCTTCGCGGCTGACCTGCCCAGGGCTACACGTTGTCTAATGTCCTGACTGCTGCTTCCATTGGCCTCGATTGTAGTACCAAGCAATGTGAATTCTTTGACAACCTCAGTCTTTTCTCCATTTATCATGATGCTGCTCATTGGTCCAGTTGTGAGGATTTTTGTTTTCTTTATGTTGAGACGTAATCCATGCTGCAGGTTGTGTTCTTTAATCTTCATCAATAAGTGCCTCGAGTCATCCTCCCTTTCAGTGAGCAAAGTGGTATCATCAGTGTATCTCAGGTTGTTAATGACTCTTCCTCCAATCCACGGGGTTTCCTTGGTGTAATCTTTATGGGAGCAGATCCCCAGGGCTTTTTCCCGGCGACTCCACTGGTGAGTTTGAACCACTGACCTTTCAGTTAGCAGCCAAGCACTTAACCATTGGGCCACCCGGGCTTCTTACTCTGTGGTCACTTGTGTGGCATCTGCTGCTGTCCCCCGTGCCCCTCTCGGAGGGTCGCGACGGCCCTGGCATCTGCTGCTGTCCCCCGTGCCCCTCTCGGAGGGTTGCGACGGCCCTGGCATCTGCTCCTGTCCCCCGTGCCCGTCTCGGAGAGAGTCACTGCAGCTCCTGCATCTGCCTCTGTCCCCCATGCCCCTTTCAGAGGGTCTCTGCAGTTCCCCACACTGCTTGGTGACATCACCAGCCTCAGACGAGAGCAGGCTGGGTGGGAGTAAGCTGACCCCATACTGCGGACCCCGACTTTAAGCATCACTGTCCCGAGTGTGGACTTGATGTTGACTTTTCTGTCTTGGGACCGGGAAGTTACACACACCTACTTGCCTTTATGTTGAGGTAGATGGGAGCATCACTTGTCTTTAAGGCCTTTCTGTTCCTCGGAGACTAGCTACAGTGCTGAGACTAGCATAATTGCTTATTTTTATTTTGTTTTCATCCATTTCCCTGAAGTAACCTTTGGAAACATCAAAAGTTACTCTCTATTGACCTGGACAAAGTGGCGTTGCCCAACTTCAGATCAAACCGCCCTCAAGTGCGACCATTGTCTCCCGGGGAGAGTGGTGCCTGGGACATTCCAGGAGGTAAGTCCTTGTGTTCTTTGCTGTTGCACTAGATCAATGCTGTAATTTGTTCAGAGGATCTTCCCTTCGCTCATCCTTCTAAAAAAAAGATGAAGACGTTGTTGTCCCTCTTGAAACATTCTCCGTGGAGTTTTCACTTTGATCTTTTTACTGTGACAGGGTGTTAGACTTGCACACCCTCAGAGTTCTGCCACACAGACATGCAGCATGCACCCAGGGAGAGGCAGCTCCTGGGCTTGCTCCCAGTCGCTGGAGGTAGCCAGCCTGGCTCCTGAGCCCTTGCCACAGTGATCCCCCCGACTCTCTGCCCAGGCCCGTGGGATGTGGCACTGTCCCATGAGTGATGAGACTTCACTGGTAGATAGGGGTGACCCCTGGTGGTTCCTCTTCCCCAAGTGCAGACGCATGTGCCCTCTGCAGGTGGTGGCTTTGGCCTGAGCAGACTGCTGAGGCAGGTCTGCGGCTCTCCCTTCCCTGGGCGACGGGACTGGGGTACTCCAGCAGAGTGGGGCCCCTCTTCACTCTGGAAGCGTTGTTCTTCCAGAGAGGTGACATCCTGAAGGCTCTTTGGTTCTGGAGCTGGGTAGAAGCTCAGGGCATTAGGAGGGGTACCCCAGCCCTGGGGACTCTGTAACCTCAGGATCCGGAGGGCCTGCTGTGGTTCCGGGGTACGCTGACAGTGATACATTGGGAACCCTCAGCATTGCTCATGACAGGACGCTGTCAACCAAGGGCCCTCCAGCGGCCACTCCTGGTCTGTGACGGCACGTCGTCCCGTCTGTGGAGGGCTTTCCCAGAGGAGAGGGGCACAGCCAGCAGGCACCCATCCCACCTGGCCCTCCTGCCTCTTCTCCCATTCAGCCAGCTCGACACCCTTCCTTCTGCCACGCCCTGACAGGCCAGCCCCCCGCAGTTCCCTCGAGTGTCCCGCTGCACGTCGTCCTGTGCTCTGTCCGGAGGGTGGGAGGGGCCGTGCCCCACCGTGCCCCTGCCCCCCCGAGAGACTGCAGCCTGCTCACTGGAGCACAGCTGCAGCCAAAGCCACACTCGGAAGGCCCCAGTGACACTGAGCTGAGGCGTGCAAGGCACCCCTGCCCCGCCGACCCAGCGGGAAGCGGGTTAGCTGTGGTCGCTGATGAGTCTGGAGGCTCCGACTCTGGCCTCGTGAGTGCCCCCGGCCTGTCCTCTTTCAGGGATCATGCCTGGCCGCTACAATCAGGAGGTGGGCCAGACCATTCCCGTCTTTGCCTTCCTGGGAGCTATGGTGGTCCTGGCCTTCTTCGTGGTACAAATCAACAAGGCCAAGAGCAGGCCCAAGCGGAGGAAGCCCAGGGTGAAGCGCCCCCAGCTCATGCAGCAGGCGCACCCCCCAAAGACCCCGTCCGTGTGAGCGCCAGGAGAGCCAGGGCTCCTTCCTGACGCCTCACGTGGGCAGCGGAGCTGGAGAAGGTTTGTACCGGGCTCTGGAGCCCAGGAGCCGCGGGTGTGTTGGAGTCCCTTCTAGGTGGCCTCCCCTCCTCGCTCACTGTGCGTCTCCAGGTGTCTCGGGGCCAGGTCCCGCCAGGAGGGACTCGTCAGTCCGTCTCTAGGGGGACGTCCCAGCGCAGCACCAAAGACTTGGAGAGCTTCAGAGACGGCCTGGGGTCTTCTGACCCGAGAGGAAGATGCACTTCACACTCGAACAGCCCCAACCAAGTGAGACAAGCTTGGTGGGGACTGTTTTCTGTATTTATTGTTGGAAAAGTCACTTTAAAGACTCGTGCTGTTTGGAAGCAGAGCTGTGTTGTGGTCAGTGGAATGCGGTATGGTCTTACCCCATCGTGAGGAGTAATGACACAGATTCCATCGCCATCTTTGATGAGAAGAACAGACTGAGATTTGACGGAAACTCACACAAATCTGTGAAGCATAGACCTTGGCTTTATTTTTATAAGTATCCACTGCCATCATGTTTTGTAATTTGGGGTCTTGATTTCACCATTGTTGGTGAAGAGAGTTTTCAATAAATACGCATTACCTATACGAAGCTGCAAAGTCGTGTGTGGCCACCTCTTTCCCTGCCTGCCCCATTTCTCCTCGCTGACCACTCAGAATGGGTCCCAAGTCCGCTGGCTTGTTTGTATCACTGTTGAGGTGCCATTCACGGGCTGGAAAGATCACTCGTTTAAAGTGTACGATTCTGTGCTTTCTAATGTGTTCATAGTCAGGCATCTGTCACCACAATCTGGTTTAGAACGTTTTCATCACCCCACCAAAGAAATCCCACACCCGTTGCCAGCCCCACCCATGTCCCTTCCCCCCAGCCCCTGGCAACTACGAATCCACTGTCTCTGGATTTGCCTGTTGTGGACGATTTCTGAATCATAGTGTAGAAGCATACAGCATGTGGCCTTTGCTGTCTGGCTTCTTGCACTGAGCATAACATTTCCAGTTACCCGTGTTGTAGTAGTTAGCGTTTTACACTTTATGGCCAAGTAACCTGTCGTGTGGCTAAACCCTGTAACAGAACAAACATCCATTCATCGGTTGATGGACCTTTGTATTGTTGCCGCTTTTTGGCTGGTGTGACAGTGCTTCTGTGGACACTGGTGGACAGACTTTTGCATGGACGTGAGTTTCGATTCTCAGGGCTGTAAACTTGGGAGCGGAACCCGGGACGGCTATGCTTAACCATGTGAGGAGCTGCCAGGCTGCTTGCACAGGTGGGGGCGCCACAGACGTTGCCGCCAGCCGCGGAGGACCGTTCCAGTCTCCCCACAACCTCCCCAGCATTGGCTTGGTCTGTGATTCTGGACTGTTCCGTGGGCAGCGTGTGGGAGCTTATTGTGGTTTGGGTTTGCATTTCCTAAGTGACTCCTTGGCATTGAACATCTTTTCATGGGCTTATTGGCTGTTTTTTGGGAGCTCTGGTGGCGTAGCGCCTAAGGCATTTGACTGCTAACCTGATGTCTGGCAGTTCAGACCCCGTGGCCACTCCTTGGAGGGAAGGTTGGGCAATCTACTTCCGTAGTGATACCGGTAGCCTTGGGAACCCAAGGAGGGGTTGGGATGAATCGTGTCCGACTCAACAGCAGTGACTTTGGTTTTTGGTTTTTTGGTTAGCTGTTTGTGTATCTCCTCTGGTGAAATGTCTCTCCACGTGCTTTGCCTGTTTTCTTTAACAGAATCTTTTGCCTTTTTATTGTTGAGTTGTAAAACTCCTCCATCATCCCGAGTAGAAATGTCTTATCAGGTAAGTACTTTGGGAACGTTTTCTCTCGTCCTGCGGTTGTCATTGCACTTGGTTGAGCGTGTTCTTTGAAGCACAAGTGTTTTCCATTTTGGTGAAGGTCTGGATTATGTCCTTTTCTCCTTGTTTGCTGGTGTTCAGACTCTAACCTAAGGAACCACTGCCTCATCCCAGGCACCCTGTTGCGTGTTAACCCGTCCAGACATCAGCCTTCTCAAGTGGGTACTGGATCACTGGGGAGAAGGAGGAGAGGCCATGTGGCACTCAGGGTGCTGATGGGCTCTTCTTTTGGGAACCACCCAAGCCGGGGGGGTAGCCTAGAACCCGCTTGTCTCTTTGGGGCCTAGGTACCTTATTTCCAGAGGTGGCATTTAGATCAGGGTCTTTCCTGTTCCTTCCCACCGGGAGGATCTGCTGGCTGGCTTTAAAGGTCTGGCCTGTACATACCACTCACCTTCCGAACCTGTTCTCCTGGCCTCGACTCCTGTGCCGGGCCGGTGGCTCTGGCCATGCCCTGCCTGCCTTCTCCAGAGACCGGGAAGTAGAAGGTGTCCATGGCATCTTCGTAACTCAGAGGCCTCAGGTGGGTGTCCCACCAGGACGGGATGGACCCCGCCAGCCAGGGCCCTGGCTTTCTCATGGCCAGTCACAGGGTGCACTGCTACTGTGCGTTCAGGCATTCCGTCTGTAGGGCCAGGAAGTTGGGCCCAGGACCAGGACAAAGCAGACAAACATAGACATCAAATCATAGACTGAGGCTAAGTCGGGAAGAAGAGGATTTTAAAAGTACTTAGGTTTTTAGGGGCTGTGCTTAACTGTAGTTGAAGAAGGGGACCTTGTGGGCGATAACCCAGCAAGCTGAAGGTCAATAGCAACCACGGACAGAGCTGGATCGGCCTTTGAGGGGCGGCCTAGGCTGTGCAGGGGCCTGACGGCATGAATGGGTCATACTGGAGCCCAAGGACATGAAGAGATTGGGCTCAGGCAGCAGAGCCTTTGTGGCGTGCCTGCCACGAGGACATGGGTTAGTAGAAGCATCTGAAGAGAAGGCGGGAGTCACTTGCATCTCTTACAGACCTCTGTTAGGTGCTCTGTGCCAGCGCACTGTTAGGTGGGATACGTACATGATTTCATCTTGACGAAACCAACGTAAGGTAGGCTTATCATCTTACCCAGAGTCACACAGCGGCGGAGTGAGGATTTGAACCTGAGTCTGTCCTGATTGCACCGTATGTGGGCTTAACTGCCATCTTCTCCTGACCTCTATGATGACCTGCTTCTGACTGCCTCATGTTAAAGGGACAGCAACCGACTAGGAGATGGACCAGGACCATGAGGGGCCATGGAACAAAACCATGGGGGATGAGGCGCGTGAAGGAGCAGGTGAGTTTGACCCAGGAGTGTGGAAGCTTCTTTGGAGGACACTGCACCCCCGAGGGAGACCCCGTGAGGCGGCTTTGGGTCCAGCATAAGCTGGTTGTTCAAAAGGCCGACCTGGAAGGTAGGTAGCCTCACAGGATGGCTGCGTGGCGAGAGCAGGCGCCCACCTGGAGGAATGTTCTAGAGATGTCATCCATGGCATGGGCATTGCACTAAGGCCTTGGCCCTGTAAGGCTGTGGACTCAGATGGCTCGAGTACAGGTCCAGCCTAGTCCCTTCCTGCTAGTGCGCCTTCAGCAGCGGCCTTTGCCTCTGTGAGCAGGTGTACACAGGCCTGGTCACCTGCCAGACACAGAGGCAGGCCCAGTCAGCGTCAGCTGCTGTTAAGGATAATTTCATAAGCGTGTTCTGCTACCAGTGTACCCATCCATCCCCAAGCCGGGCCATGCCCTGCTCTGAAGAGGTCCTTTCCTGCATGGCTCCCATGGTTGGTCCTGGTGAACAGCTGCATTTTTTAAAATAACCAAAGAATGAATGAACAAAACAGCCATAACCACAGAAGACGCCTGGGCGTCTGTGGGTCGGGGCTCTGAGGGCCCAGTGGTAGAGGTCAGACCCCAGGTTCCATTCCTGACCACGACTTCCTCCTCGAGAGGCAGGCAGGAGTTGTGACCATGACAGTCTTAAAGCCACTGTGTGAGATGACATGGATGTGAAGGGCCCAGCCGGATGCCCTGGCCCACGCTCAGAGCAGTGGCTCCTGCCGTAATCCCTTCTGAGTGGTGTCATACACAGAAAAGGCGCGGTGAGTCACACACAGAGGCAAGATACCATGTTAACATCTGTCCACAAACCAGGAAACGCCAAGCAGCGCCTGGAGCTAAAGTGACAACACAGAGGGGACAGCGTGGTGATGTCTTGGGTTTGGGCTTCTAGCCTCCAAAGTGATGAGACAGTGAGTGCTCATCCTTGAAGCATTTGGGGGCATTTTTGTCACGGAATGCCTAGGAGACTGAGAGACACGCTATCATCGTGTCCAGAATACAGCTCTGAGTTTCCGGGTAGCCACACCAGAAGGACAAAACGGACACATCTGGTTCCCACAGCACTTTAAACCGCCCCTTTCGTTTTCCTTGTGTGCCTCCCTCACTGCTCAGAACGGTGGTTCTGTACAAAGAGGGTTTATTTGGACTGTCAGCTGTACCTGTCTGTGGTCCCCATCACCATTTGGGGGCGGCATCGGTGTGGAGTGCAGGTCAGATCAGCCTTGGTTCCTTGCCTCCCCTCCCTCTGAGCCCACCCTCTTTGTCCCCTTGAAGCTTCTGCACCAGAGCCCAGCGCCGGGCCTGGCCGGGCTCAGCAGAGGTGGCTGCTGGCCGCAGATGGGGGACCCAGCAGGACACCTCTCCACAGCTCTGAGGAAAGGTCATGTAGCCCTGGATGCCAGCAGAGAGCTGATATCAAAGGCCCTCGGGATGAAAAGGTTCTTCCCCTGGCCTGGGATTTCACAGCCCGGTGACCAATTTCTAAGTCATGCACGTTAATGGGCAGCTAACGAGGGGCCCGCTGGTCGGGTGGGCAGTGGCCCTCAGCCCAGAAGCCGAGATGAAGGAGCTCCAAAGTCCCCAGCCTCTGATTAAGACCTCTTTATCTTCTTTCTCACTGTGATCAGGAGGCCGGATTTGGGGGGAAAGCAAATGGCTTGGCTCCGGTTGAATGCCTGGGGAGAGCCACGTGCGGTGTTGGGCGTTCTGCCCGCGGCCACAGCCACAGCCCCCCTCCGCCTGGGCCCAGTGCCATTGCCACACACTGTTCCTGGCCACCTCCAGCATGGGGGAGGGGGTGTCTGAAGACTTTCTGCCGGGGCCTCTAACCCAGGAGCCCAGAGCAGGGGTCTTTCCAGGAACACCAGCTGCTGCCCCTGACCAGGCCTTCACAGCATGTCCCCGCCTTCTGGAAGGCTGGTTCCTGCCCCTCACCCTTGGACACAGACTTCTCCTCCACCTTGAGCTCAAGCCCCCCTTCACCTTGAGGAAGCCCCTCTCCTGACCCCACTCCATCTACCTGCACCGTGGCTCAGTCCTTCCTCTGGACCATGGTTTTGGCTGAACTTGACCTCCACCAGAACACAGACCCTTCTCTTGCCTCTCTGAGTCCCAGGGCCTGGCATATAGTAGGTATTCAGTCAGTGTTTGTGGATTGAATGGCTGACTGAGTGATTGAGAACACAGTGTGATCTCAGATACACGGGGTATAGGAAGTTGGATGGTGGCCTCCGAAAAGGTACATCACATGGAACCTGTGAGCATTAACTTGTTAGTAAAAAGGTTTTTCGCAGACGTGGTTAAGTTAAAGATCTCAAGATAGGCTCGTCCTGGATCACCTAAGGGACCCTCAATTGAATGACACGTGCCCTGGGGAGACGAGCAGACACGGGCGAAGGCCGGGTGAAGACAGGCACAGGTGGGAGGGAGTGGCCACCGGCCAGGAGCACCCGGAGCCCCAGCGCTGGGAGAGGCAAGGACGGGTGCTCCTCAGGCCCTCAGAACCAGCACGTGTGGCTCGCAGCCGCCGAGTTTGTGGCGACTGGTTCTGGCAGCTGTAGGAAGTGGATGCCGGGGAAGCCAGCTGTCCTTTTCCTGTCTCTCCTGCAGTCTGTGCACTCGTCCAGCCACCCGTTCATCCACTCACTCATTCACTCACTCGACTTCCTGTCCAGGGCCCTGTCTGGGGCAGGGCGGGGGGGCAGCAGGACATGGCAGGCTTTGAAGTGAGGTCCTGTCGCTTGCCAGCTGTGGCCTTGTGAGCCCCCGTGCTCGATATGGGGTGATGGTCGGCGTGAGGATTCCCTTAGCTGAGGCGCGCGCGCAGGGCTGACCCCACTCACAGAACCCTCCTTACAGGGCGCGGCGGCAGTGCTGCTCAAGACAGCACCCCGGCTCCCCCGTGTCCAGGCTCTGTTCTCACTCAGGGATGTGAGAACCTGCTGGTTCAGCAAGCTACACGTTATTGACACCCATTGCGTGCAGAGCCCCCAGCCGAGTCTGTCCTAAAGTAGGCAGAGTCGGGCTGAAAGCACACTGAGAAAAAGGCCTTTGGGCTGGTCTGTAGCTGGCAGGCCAGGGCTGAGGAGCGGGGGCTCTGGCCACGTTTGCACAGTGGGTCTCCAAGTGGGGTGAGGCTGAGTTTCACAGACTGCTTGTTAAAAGTGCCAGTTCATTGTCAATGAAAGCAAACATGGGTATAGGGATGGATAGATGGGTGAACAAGCTAAACAATTATGTATGTCTAAATGGAGAGTGTATCCAAGATCATATACAGGGTTGGCAGACAATGGGCCTCTCGAAGAGTATGAAGGGATGGACACTGGGAGGAGGTAACTATGGGGAGGAAGTGGGGGGGGAGCTGCTGCATTGTAAATTTTGGTCAATGACATGAGACAAAGTATATGTGAACTGCTGTATGAAAAGTGAATTTACTCTGTAAATCTTCACCCAAATCCTAATAAAAAAAAAAAAAAAGTGCCAGTTCACAGATAGTACCCCCCAGCCGTCCGATTTCACACGCCCTCCAGGGTATGTAACGTGCTTCAGGAGGTAGGTGAGAGCTGAGAGTTGAGGACGTCTGGATCCCAAGGTAAACGGGTCCAGAGGAGAATTCAGTGTGACCTTCGTGGGCTGCATGTCCCGGGATGGGGCTGCGTGTCCCGGGATGGGGCTGCGTGTCCCGGGATGGGGCTGTGTCTGATACTCTGTTCTCTGTGCTGACCGCGTATCTGATGGCGAGTGCTGGTGTGGGTTTGGAGAGGAGGTCAGCAGCTGAGTTTCACCACTCAAAGCATGGTCTGTGGACCAATGCCATCAGCCTCCCGGGAGCTGGTTAGGGATGCAGGACCACCCAAACCAATGAACTGGCAGGTGCACTCGAACAAGCACTCCAGGGTGACTGGAAGATCACTGGTTGGAGCTGAGGAGCTCTGGTGGTGCGGTGGTTAAAGCGATGAGCTGCTAACTGAAAGGACAGTGGTTCTAATCCACCGGCCAGTCTGCGGGAGAAAGATGAGGCAGTCTGGTTCTGTACAGATTTACAGCCTTAGAAACCGTGTGGGGCAGTTCTGTGTCCTGATGGATTGCTGTGAGATGGCATCAACTCAAAGGCAGTGGGTTTGGGTTTTTTCTGAAGGAGGACAGGCCTCTGCCCACTGCCCTCTGGCTTGCTCCCTGTGCAGTATGCAACCCGATGACGCCAGGTGGGCACGGGAGCCCCGTTTAACAGGAGGAAGCCAGGCTCAGAGCTCGCCCCGCAGACAAGCGGCAGGACCAGACCCAGAGGGTCAGACAGGGCCTCACAGGGCATCTGAGGGAGGCGGCCTTGAGGAAGTGGCCTTAGGGATTGCTGTGGTGTCCCCCTGCCCCTTTGATGTCTTCTGGCTGTACTGCTCTAACCCTGGGAGGTGGAGTGAGGGCAATCTGAAGAAGGCACCACCCCTGGGGAGGGGCTGTGCTGGGGTTGGGGGAGCAGCGGGAGAGGGAGTCTTAAGACTCCAGCCAGCCCTGGCTTGGCCAGCATTCTCAGAAGTGGTGAGTTCTTGGGTCAGATGGCCCTGCCACTTTTCCCTGTCCCCCAAGGATTTCGGACATGACCCCAATACGTGCTTTCTAGGCCCCCTTAATTAGCAGTTGGCTATTCCGCGGCAGAGCTGCGGTTTTCCTCCTGCGCTCCAGACTTCTGACCAGCAGCTAACCTGCCTGGAGGAGTGTGACCCCGTTCCTGGAGCCCAAGGAGGGCCACCTCCTGCCCTGGAGTCGGCATTGGTGGTGAGGATGAGCGTGTCAGCAGTGGGGCCGTGGGTGGGAGCGGCGAGAGTGGGAGGAACGCTGGGAGAGGGAATCAGAGGTTGGAAGTGGGACAGGGCCCTGGGGCCTGAGTGGAAGGCCGGGGTGAGGATCAGCAGGTAGAGAGGAGTGGAGGATGCGGGGTGGCATTTGTTTCGGGTCGGGGGCACACGAAGACCGTGCCCTTTGGGAGGGGCAGAGGGACGGAAGAGGCGGAGCCCGCAGCCTCAGGAGCAATGCCTGGAGCTGGCCGTCGAGCCCCTCTCTCCTCCCTGTCCCCCTCTAGCCATGGAGGAGCAGACCCCAGAGAGCAGGGGCCTTGAAGAGAAAGCCCCCCGCAGCTTGTCCTCGCTGGGGGCCGGCTTCATCCTGATGAAGTCTGCCCTGGGGGCTGGCCTGCTCAATTTCCCCTGGGCCTTTCAGCAGGCCGGCGGGCTGGCCCCGGCCTTCCTGGTGGAACTGGTGAGTCCCTGGGCCGCGGGGGGTGGGCGGTGGGGGGGCTCCCAGTGGCCGCTGTTTGTCCAGAGGGTTCTGGCCCTTGCTTCTGCTGAGCTCTCTTGGAAACCAGGCTTCTGAGACTTCCTTCCTCTGCTCATGAGCAGAGGCTGTGAGCTGTTAGCTGGACAGCACTTCTGACTGTGGCCTCTGTGTCCCGGGGAGCAGTATCTGGGTGGCTGCTGGCCTGGCCACTGTTCCTGCCTGCAGACCTTAGCTCAGTAACAAGATCTTAAATCCTTTGTGCAGCAGAGCTCGTGCCAGGGTCAAGTCCCTCCCCCATCCACACACACACACAAACTCAGAGCTCACACACATGTGCACAGCACTGCACACAGCACATACACACAGGTATGTGTACATAGCACGTGTACACACACAGCACGTGTGTGCTGTGTATGCATGCACTAGTGTATGTGCATATATGCAGCAAACACACACAGTCAGAACATACACGCACATACGTGTGTGCACACACAGGCCCTGGTGTTGAGCGTTCCTTCTGGGGCTGCTGGCTGCCAAAGCCCGATGAGTGTCATGGCGCAGACGCTGCCGCCCCGGTGGGAAGGACTAGCACAGCGTCACTTTGCTTCCTGCCTTGCTTCCACGGGCTCGTGTGTACCGTGCAGCCTGTGGTTAGCTCTTTGACATGGGTTACTGACAGCCCAGGAGTCACTGGCGAGCTTTAACAACTTTTAGCTAGGGCTGCTCGAGTCCCTCTGGGAACTGCCGCTTTCCGCTCTGGTCAGGGCCAGTGTAACCCCCCCACTCCCAGTGTAGGCATAGTACCGGTCTGTCCTGGCGTGGTTTGGTGCTGGATGAGTAAGACAGGGCAGCCCCTGTCCTGGTGACACTTACTTTCATGAGGAGATCAGGCAAGATACAAGTCATGGCAGAGAAAGATTTCTGTTGGTGGTAAGTGCTAGGTGGGTCAGGTGATGAGTGGGACAGCATACAGGGTGGGCAGCAGGGTTCCTCTGCAGAGGTGATGTACAAGCCAGACCACAGAGAGAATGGCAAGTGTGCATGTGCGGGGCAACGTGGATGTGTTTGGACGATCGCAGCGGTAGGCTGCCGTTACTGGACACTGGGCAAGAAGCCTGCTCTCAGGCCACACAGGGTCAGTGATAGAGCAGGTGGGGCTCGTGGGCACAGATGCAGCCCCAGGCCCACGGGAAGGGCTGTAAGGTACAACTGAGGCATCCGAGCTCCTCAGAGGACTCGTGTAGACATCTTGGTGAAATGCATTTGGTCTGGGGGGCCTGAGCATACGTTTCCCACACCTCCCAGTGACCTGGTGGCTGCTGGGGGCTTGGATTTTCATAGAAGGGTCTGGAGACGTGTGTCTTGAGCATACTTGAGCTGTGAGGATATCCCAAAGGTGAATGAGTGGAAACCCTTCCAGGGAAAGAATCAGGCAGACAGCAGCCACCTTCCCTCCCACCCAGTTGGTGCTTTTCCTCCCAGAGCTGCCAGGGATCTGGGGCAGGGTGAGCCTGGCTGGGCTGACCTCAGCGTGAAGCCCGCTTTGCGCTCAGCCGGCGAGACACAACTACACACGCCCTACCCTGCTCTCCTGGAGCATCACAGCTGCCCACATCCTGACGTCAGTGGGGATAGCCAGCGGTCTCTAATGACCCGTTGGTGAGTGTGCCCTCTCTGGGGCTGGGAGGGGCAGGCTCGCCCTGGTCTGCTGCTCGGTGCACAGCCCCATTCGGCAGGTCACTCATCCCGCCCAGATGGCTCATCTCCTTCACAGAGAGGTGCAAGGCAGAGGTGCCATCTGACCCTGCCTTTGTCCCCGGGGTGCCTGCTGTGTGCCAGCGTTTCTCTGGGGTCAAAAAGGCAAGGCACCTGACGGATGAGAGAGACTTTGAAGAGCCCCAGGATGGCTGCAGGTGTGAGTCTGAGGGTCACCTGACAGCGTAGAATAGACCTGTGCCTCCTCCCAGCCCTGGAGGGGCTACGCCCTCCCAGCCCTGGAGGGGCTGCGCCCTCCCAGCCATCCAAGACCAAGGTATCAGCAGGGCCGCACGCCCTCTGAAGGTGGGAGGGGAGGACTTTCCAGCCTCTTCCAGGTCTGGGATCTTTAGGTGTACTTGGCTTGTGGCTGCACTGCTCCACTCTGCCTGTCTTTGCTGGCCTCCTCCCCAAGCCTTCTCCTTGTCTGTGTCCTGTAAAGACACTTGTCGTTGGATTTAGGGCTGCTCAAATAAGCCAGGTTGATCTCATGTTGAGATCCTTCGTTACATCTGCAGAGACTTAAAGGTCACAGTCACAGGCTCCAGGGGCCAGGACACTGGCATCTTTTCTAGGGGAGCACCATTCAGTCCACCACAGACAATCAGTGTCCCCAAGGAAGGTGTGCCCATAAGCAACATCGTGATAAATGGAGAAAAGATTGAAGTTGTCAAAGGTTTCATATTACTTGGTGCCACAGTCAACACCGGTGGAAACAGCAGTCAAGACATCAGACAACATATTACACTGGGCAAATCTGCAAAAGACCTCTTTAAGCCATGACAAGAACAGACATATGCACACCCATGTTCATCGTGGCACTGTTTTGTTGTTGTTGTTGTTGTTGTTGTTAAGTGCCGTCGAGTCGTTTCCAACTCATAGCAACCCCATGCACAGCAGAACGAAACACTGCCCGATCCCACGCCAGCCCCACAATCCCTGCTATACTTGATCCCATCATCGCAGCCACCGTATCAATCCATCTTGTTGAAGGCCTCCCCCTCTTTCGTCGACCCTCCACCCTACCAAGCATGACATCCTTCTCCAGGGAATGGTCCCTTCTTACAACATGACCAAAATAGGTGAGACGAAGTCTGGCCACTCTCGCTTCCAAGGAGCATTCTGGCTGCACTTCCTCCAGGACAGATCTGTTAGGTCTTTTAGCAGTCTATGGTACTTTCAGCATCCTCCGCCAGCACCACAACTCAAAAGCGTCAACTCTTCTTCGGTCTTCCTTATTCATTGTCCAGCTCTCACATGCATACAAGGCGATTGGAAATATCATGGCTTGTGTCAGGCGCACCTTAGTCCTCAAGGAGATATCCTTGCTCCTCAGCACTTGAAACAGTTCCTTCGCAGTTGACTTTCCCAATGCTACACGTCGTCTAACGTCCTGACTGCTGCTTCCGTTGGCATCGATTGTAGAACCGAGCAACGTGAATTCCTTGACAACCTCAATCTTCTCTCCATTTATTGTGATGCTGCTCATTGGTCCAGTTGTGAGGATTTTTGTTTTCTTTATGTTGAGATGTAATCCATACTGCAGACTGTATTCTTCAACCTTCATCAGTAGGTGCCTTAAGTCATCCTCACTTTCAGCAAGCAAAGTTGTATCGTCTGCGTATCTCAGGTTGTTAATGATTCTTCCTCCAATCCTGATACCACGTTTTTCTTCATATAGTCCAGCTTCTCGGATTATTTGCTCAGCATATAGATTGAATAAGTGTGGAGACAGAATACAACCCTGACGCAGTCCCTTCTTGATTTTAAACCATGTAGTGTCCCCTTGTTCTGTTTGAACGACAGCCTCCTGGTCAAGGTACAGATTCCTCATGAGTACAATCAAGTGCTCGGGGATTCCCATTCTTCTCAATGTTGTCCATGATTTGTCATGATCCACACAATCAAATGCCTTTGCATAGTCAATAAAACACAAGTAAACATCTTTCTGGTATTCCCTGCCTTGAGCCAAGATCCATCTGACAACAGCTATGATATCCCTTGTTCCACGTCCTCTTCTGAATCCGGCTTGAACCTCTGGAAGTTCTCTGTCAATATACTGCTGCAAATGTTTCTGAATTATCTTCAGTAAGATGCAATTATCTTCAGTAAGAAGTAATTATCTTCAGTGGCACTGTTTACAGTAGCCAAAAGATGGAAACAACCTAGATGTCCATCAACTGAGGAATGGACAACCAAACTATAGTACATACACACAAAGGAATGCTATGCAACCCTAAGGAATAACCTAGAATCTGCAAAACACCGCATAACTTGGATGAACTTGGAGGACATATGGCTGAGTGAAATAAGTCAGTCACAGAAGGGCAAATATTGTGTTAGTCCGTTATTGTAAAAGTCAGGGAAAGATCTATCTATGGAAGGAAATTTTCTTTGTTGGTTACCAGGGGTAGGAGTGGAGGGAAGGGAACACTATTAGATAGTTAGAGATAAGTATTGATTTGGGTGAAGAGAAGGGCAGTGTACCAAATGTGAGTGATCAACATGGTGGCATTGAGGAAGAGGAAGACAGAGAGGTACATGGGAGGTATAGATGGAAAGATAAATCATTTTGCACATAACGTACTGTGTTGTCAGTGAAGGCAAACACGGGTATACAGGTAGATGGGTAGACAGGCTGAACTATTAGGTATGTCTGTGAAGCAGGGAGTGTACCCAAAACCATGTATAGGGTTGGCAGACAATGGTCCTCTAAGTGTATTTGTATGATCTGAATTCCCAGGTGTACAGTAGAGCTGACAAGGGACAGGGTTGTAGTCACTGCTTGGTCGCAGCCAGCTACCCAGAGGGACCAAGTAGTTGAACCTGCAGGCTTGGGACCATAGTCACAGGGGGCATCAACCTCAATTGCCATAACATACTACACAAAACACTGTTCCACCTCTTACTTGAGCAAGTAGAGACTGGGATCTTAAAAGCTAGCACTGCCATCTAGATGCAACGATGGGTCTTTCCTCGTCCAGAGCAAAGCAGAATGAAGAAAACCAAAGATTCATGGAAACGATTAGTCCCGGGACTGGTACACCATGCGATCTGCAGCCTATATGACTATGAGACCAGAAGAACAAGATGGTGCCCGGCTACCACTGTCAACTGCTCAGAGCGGGATCTATGCAGGAGATCCTGGATAGAGAGGGAGCACAATGTGGAACAAAACTCAAAATCATTTGGAGAAAAAAGGAGGGGGCAG